ACGGTCTAGTCAAAGTGGTCAGAAATAATTAAAGTAAGCTATGAAAGATGAAAAGAATATGACACCATTTTGAGCCACTTTAAGACTGAGCTCTGGGCATACTGCATCAAACACAATTTGAATGTACTTAAATAATTTCACATTAGTGATCGTCCAAACCAAGTCTTCTGCAAGAGTCCCCATCCACAGAAGTATTGTTGAAAGAAACTTCTTGGCCCAACATTGGTCTGCTTGGATAAGTGCAGGTAGGTCAGTATTTCAGTACTGTGCTCAAAGTTTTGCTGATTTCTGAGGTGTATTGAATCAGATTTCAGGCTGTTGGGCCTATACTGGAGTAGTGCTTGCAAATGATTTCATCTTTACATTCTTGCCTGCAGGAAGCTCCATCTTGATAGTTTTGATCAATGTCTACTAATACAATAGTCAGTAGAAAGTCATACTAATAGTTAATGCTCACTGAATTTGTAGTGTGGGAAGTTTTCTGCAACCTCAATAGGGCTGCTGTGAGTACAGGCTCTTTGGATTTGGATTGACTCAGAGGTGGATCGATTTCCATTGAAAGATTGTCAATAGAGCCAGATGTATTACTGGCAGCACCATTAAAGTCGCTGCCAGACAAAAAATCAGCAGTTTCTGCTGCCTTTCTTTTGAGTACAGGCCTGGGGTGAGGCACCAGTCATCACTCATTACTTTGAGTGAATATCTGGAATGGTCTACTGTTATATGCGCTGGAATCATCTGAGTCATTAGCAAGTGCAACTATAGTCTTTGAATGACACTGAATTGTTCACAAAGCTAATCAGTCTCTTCTTAGCACACTTTCTTCTCTAAGGTGGATATAATGACATTTGCTTTCTTGAAGATATCAAATTATCCACTTTCTCTGATCAGCAACAAGAAGCAAGAAATCAGAGACCTTGGATTGGCCAAAATACCAGGGTGTCTTCTGATTGATACTACATGGTTTCTGATAAGTTTAGTGTGCAGCCAGGTCACAACAGTGGTATGTCATGGTTTCTGATTTCTATGATCAACTGTATATTCATTTAAACTCCAAAGATGGAAGCTGGATGTTACATTTTAATTAATATGCTCTTGTTGAGAATGGTATTGGTGTGTCTGGATGTAAACATAATTCCAGAATTCCATATCCCCAGAACAACATTCAACCCAGAGTCTGGCAAACATTTGTTTAGTGGTGTTGTTGACTTCTTGGTGACTAAAATTCTCACTGAGTACACCAGTTAGTTATTTTATGTTGTGTGCTAGAACAGTTTTCAGGTGTCAGAACTCAGTAATCCATGAATGTCAGACATAAGTATTCAGTGCTTTATATATCTATATAATAAACCAATACCTTGGCCCATACATCTATATGATAATCTGGGCCCACCCCATGCACACAATATCTCACTACCTTGACCCACCCATCTATATCATAAATATTTTTCTGCACTCTCAGCCCACCTATCTATATAATAAATACTTTACTGCACACTTGGCTCATCCATCTGTATAATTCACAACGACCTTAGCCCACCCATCTATACAATGTACCTTTACATTGGCCCACCTGTCTATATAATAATCTTTGCCTTACATCTCTCTTCAGCCCAGCTGTCTATAATACCATCCTACTTTGCATATTACCCAGATGAGCCACTTATCTCCATCAGTAAAAATATCCATTCTGGCCCATCTGACATCATTAAGGATATATATCACATCGGCATAGATGGACCCATCCATCTCCATTGGAAATAATATCCCTCCTGGTCCATCTGTCAATATTGAGGATATACATCACATTGACCCATAGTCCACTAGTCCATTGTAGAGACTCATGCCTCTCATGGTGCGATATTGCACTTTACACCTACACAGCACATAGCACAAACTTGTAGCATCACTTCCTAAGTTATTCTCAGTCATTTCCATATGAGGTGCTGCTTTCCCGTGCATCATGCCTTTCCCATGCCATGTGTTGCATGCATGCACACACTTTCCCGCGCTTAAGTGGCCTATAGCACTAGCTACCCAGATGCATCCATCCACTGTCCACCAAGTTCCCTAATACATATATTTCCATTCTAAACATATTTACACATTGTACCACCTTTATTTTGCCATGGACCCTTACTTACATATAGCTTTACATACTCAGTTCAGTAGTGCTTCAGCTCGGCTTCACTGACAGCACTTAGGTGCCATACTTAAGCGCCAGCAGTAGATATTTTTAGCCAGTTTTCACTTTCCCAAGTTTTCTTTCCCAGTAGTTGCAGTAAGAATTCATTTTCTGAGCATCAGAATAGCAACTCCCAATAAGCCTACATCGCGGTAGCTATCGGCACTCTATCTCTTGCATCGCATTCTCTATTGCTTCACTCTATACTTATTTCCATTGCCTTGTATCTCTATTATTGCTTAAACCACTGGCACATTGAGCACACTTTACTTTCCCACGCACACCTCCAATGCATTCCCATGTGCACGCGTGCATTCCCATGTTTCGCATCAGCCAACTAGTAGCACCTTCCACATGCATTTCTAGACCTTTGCTGCACTTACTTCCCCTTTAGGATCGAACGCACTTGTCTCACCAAGTATAGCAGACTAGGAAGCGCACAACCTACAACATTTATATATCAGCCTCGAGCCTTGTTTGCGCCTTGCTGAGTTGTACTTTCTACACCATATAATACGAAGTTTGTTATTAAAGGGGCTCTCCAGTAGTTCTCCTGCTGGCAGTCCTCCAAGTGCTACTGGTCCTTCTGGCAGCGGTTCTTGTTCCATGACTTCATAATATATTTTATCCAATCATTCTATTAAGCTTATCACATAATTTCACATTTTCTTAGCATGAGGATGACCTAAAGTAACTAAGTGCTTTACTTTTCCACCCTCACCCATCCTAAATCTGTTATCCAATGATATGGTTAGCCTTCATATAGTTTCTCTAACTGTGATTAGACAAAGTTGTTGGCTTATACCACTCACAGGTCCTAATATTTCATGGTCACCTACTTGGAAATTTCACAACATCTTAAATCTTTCATATTATTTTTTACTTAATAATTGGTCAAGTAAATTTGCATATCAAACTATATGGCAGCAGTAGCATAGTAGTAGTAATTGATAGTACAATACACTTCACTTGACAGCTTATAACAGCTCTCAGTAGCTCCAAGCAGCTAGTTATAAAAATATTATATAGCAAATACCTGTTATTGCATAAACACATTTTCCTGATGGACTGTCTTCAGTATCCATTATGGACTCTCTATCAGAGTCATAACCTTCAGGCTCCTGAATAATGTTAATGGCATGCAGGCTCTACATGTCATGGGTCCGGTTCTCTGTCTCAGGTTAGTAGTGCAGCAGCTGGAACTGCAATATGAGGGCTTGGGTATATGGTTTGTCTTGCCATGGGGATAGCTGCAGCATCCAAGCCATAGTGACAGGATGGAGTAGTGGTGGAATGTGTCCTACACCAAGAAGGAGGAGTTAATGAGCAGAGAGTAATAGTTGGAGGTTCAAGTAAAGTGGACATTCTACAACTTTTCCCTTTATGAACTGAGTGTTATTGAGGCTATAATAAGCCATGGTTAGTGCCGTGCAGTGCAGTATATGTAATGTGCTTACAAAATTGTGGCACAAGAACTATAATTTGTAGGAAAAATTGATGGTCTACTGGCTGGATGTTTACACACCCACAGCAGGTTCAGAAATTTGCTTCGGGTAAGATTTTAATTGAAATAAGAATGTCAAGTTAGGCATTCATGGAAAAATTGGTCATGGCAAGAGGTGAAACAGTTCTCTTGCCATGATAAAGCCGCTGATCAATCTATAATCATCATCCTGTGTCACTGCAGGTAGTCTCTCCTAGCCAGACCATATAGAAGGAACTTTAGTCAACAGGATACCCTAAATCAAATTATAGACAAAGGTAAGGCTAAAGACTTGACATCTGCATCCATGGCCTCTAGTAAGTGAGTGGTTGCAACCATGTTCTATGAGTGTGGATGCTACAATATTTTCAAGAGATGAATTTGTTCCATGTACTCAGCGAGTTTTCATTTAATCCATACTTTCCAGATACCTCTCAACCCTTTCACTACTCATTTGGAATCGCAAAAGAATGTATGTTGTTTTCCTGCTCTATTCATAATCAAACTCATTAACAACCAATGTTCATGATGTACCAATACTTCTTGTATGCGGTTTCAACTACATACATTGCCTCTTGAAGTCAGCCTCTCAAGACCAACCAATACAGTGCCAAAGCTGGAACACAATAAAGGGGTTCCCAGTATTTTCTCAAGTTCAACCTTGACTCAATGGTTATTACTATTTACTAGTGCATGACCATATTGGTACAATTCATAATATGGTAGGTGGATCCACTTGGTTCAACACTCAGAATTTGACACATCCCCTAGCTGCATGAGCATCATCAGTCTCTGGTATCAACATAGATGTCATGTTCACCAGATCTCCACCATTGTCCTTGGATGGTTTGATTATATGCCATGATGAAGAAGGTGGTACTCTGCTCACCACCGACTTCAAGATTCTTGACGCACTAACTGCAAACCAATGGGTGATCATGCTTGCATCTGAAGCTACCATATCCATACTCAGTGTTGAAAGCGACATCATGAGCAAATGTGCAGGACCCAAAGTCCCTCAACAACCCAGTAACTGGGATGAAGATTAGGACCATCCTATGAGCATCTAGACCACTTTACAGTAATTTTGGGCAGGCTAGAAAAGTCACAAATAATAGGAAACAAATACATGAACCCAAAAAGAATGTCTGAATGAGCTGAGCAGCAAGTTAATGCTATGGTGAGTGTGGTACTGTGCAATGTCATGATAGATATTTGCAGATGGCCGTAAGTGACCCAGCAAACAGAATGCCAATAGAATTATGACAGCAACAATGGGTCTGTTGTAGATGGGTGAGGTCAAGCATGACCATATACACGAACACCCATGGATTATAACTCATCATCCACAATGAGAGAGTCTACCTCCTCTTCTTCGTCCTTGAGGATAGGCATCAATAGGAACAAATCCAAGGGCAAGGCAGAGCTCAAGGAATCTGTACTGGTATAATACTGCTGTCCATTTTTTAGAAACTCATCACTCACATGTTGCAGGCATCTGTAGGCATGTGATAGACCTCTGCAAACCCACACAGCACAAGTACAAGAAAGTGGTTTTGCCATCCTTACGAGGACCCAGAAATTGAAATTGCCCTCTCAGCTATTGTACCAGCTAAACTTTACAAGATCAAATCCTCCCTGGCCTCTGCTTACAGCTGGTCTTTCAGGCACTCTGAGCTGTTATATGGCTAAAATATCAGGTATCACAAACCTTCCTCCCATAGTCCTCTTCCTCCAAAGTGGGCTTTCCCTCTAGTGCTTGCAGGCTAGCTTGTGGAAAGAAAAAGACAGTACTGACATGCCCTGTGGTGATACCTTGGGCAGCCAATTCTGGAGGCACTGGTGCTGGAAACCATTTGCTGATGCAGTGGTAGAGGGCACCTAACATGAATATTAATATATCATTGGGTAGATAACTGTGGGAGCCCTCAACCAATTGCACCCAGGAAATGAGAAGAGCACTTGTGCTAATTTTGCATCTAGGTCCAGCAGAAGTGCCTTGCCACCAGTGAAATATCCAACAAGAAAACTGGTGCACAAGCCAGAATCTAAACCATCCCTATGAGAGTATACTTGCAGTTTAAAAACTACAGCATACACTAGCCAAGGTCCTGGGTCTGACGTTAGGGCTAAGAAAATTGTTAGTCGGCGGGTAAGTAAGAAGGCCAACTTCCTACACACCATTAAACCATCTCTGACCGCTGTAGAGCCTAGCATCTCCACAGGCACTTCCCTCAAATTCTCTCACATTCCCTATACACTCCAGCTCTAATCCAAAGGATACATCTTATGCAGTAGCACTCCATATATTTTACTTTGCAGATTCTGCGCACAGCCACTCGCACTATGCGTGCACCATGCGTTGTCTTAATAACCGAGGGTCTTATATAAAGTTGTGTAAATGTAATGACACCACAATTACACTTTGGATAAGACTGCTTGCCAGTCCTCAATTAACATGGTCTACAACTTTTCCTATTTCGTGGTAGATAATGTGTGAGTTCTTGGGAGGCTCACTAAACTAATCTTTTTATAAAGATCAACCTAGCCGGAGCTTTACTTTTCTTTATTGAAACTCAAATCTCTTGTCTAGGAATAAGCTTCTAGACACGTAATTCGGTTTCTGGAATGTATTTGCCTAGGAAATCTCCTTCTAGGCTCTGGACTTGGATACTGGAACTAGTGAGACGTGGTCTCAAATATACAAAATATGACCAAGATCACTTGGTCTATGGACACCTGACTGTGAGACAATGGTCTCAAATATACGATATATGTTCAAGATCGCTTGAACAAAGGGGACTATAACTTGACCAAGATCACTTGGTCTATGGGACAACTAGTGAGACGTGGTCTCAACAATATGATAGATGACTAAGATCACTTAGTCAAAGGGCACAGAGCAATGAGACAAAGGGGTCTCAAAGACTATATATATGACCAAGAATGCTTGGTCTATAGCACTAAATAAGTTTCTAAGGTAAGAGACTTATAATCTCAAGGGAATTCTTTTCCCTGCACTTGTCTCACTTCAAAGGGACTAACTTTGCAAGTGAAATATCTGATAGGTAGATTGCTACAAATGGGAGATCATATTTTTTTTGGGGGGAGAATGGGCTCTCCTTATATACATTTTGTATGGGAAAGTAACCTAGGTTCACAAACAATAAAAAATAAGGAGGACCAATCAAAATATTGGGTCAAACCCAATAAAAGAATAAAATACAAGTGAAAGATGGAGCTATGACATCATTGTGGAGCAAAAGATTCCAGAACCTTCCATGAGTAAGTCAGAGTGAATCATTGTGGAGCAGAATATTCTAGAAGGAAATGACATCATGAATGATGTCATTGTAGAGTAGAATAATCTAGAGCTTAATGACATAATATCTTTCAACAGAATACCTGCAGGAGTATCTGTGGAGTCTTATGACATCATAATGACATCATACCCTATGGGTACAATTTTATGAAGTGTCAGGTGAGTCAAAGCATCCTAATGAAAAAGTAAAGTAAAGAAACACTAGAGAAAAGTAGGTAGCAAAAATAAGACAGTTGGCAGGAATTGAAACACAGTCTTTTTGGATAGGTTTTTTATAGGCTTTGTACTTTTCTCTATGGTTTTCTCTAGCCAAAGTGAATAAGCCAAAGGCAAGGCTATACCTTAACCTTCATTTCCCTTCTCACATCAACTAGGTCTAAATGTGATTCCCATCTCACATTAGACTTTTTCCGTCAAAATGTATTCAGATCATGAAACTTGGGGAAAACTGGAAATATGGACCATGGTTTGAAACCAAGGTATGGGTTGACTAGTCTGAGGACTAAGCTTACAGACTTTGTCTTTTGAGGGTCACCTAGTATTCATGTCCATGCATGATTCCCACATCATGCAGGACAGCGTCTGCCTAAGCATTGTCCGTATACCCGTCCATCTGTCCTCCCCATGTCCTTAGATGTTCATTGGTGCATTTTCTCACTATATTCCCATTTTGACTAATTATTTCCATCGCTAATTCTCAGCCTAGCGCTACACGTGCAGCTGAGACCCTATTGCCTACCTCACGTACTATATTTAGTTTACTCAGCTCGCTACATTGGACCTGTGTACCTAGCGGCCCTTAGCTACCTTTATATATACTATCCCTTTACTCTATTTTCGTGGTCAATTTTCCACCCACTTTCTCTGTATCTCTAGATACTAGGAATTTTACTCGTTGTTTGCAAGTGACTATCTAAAGTTGCGCACTTTGGTTCTCTGTCTTAGTCTTAGCATCAGTCAACCTTAGTTGGGGTGTTAACACTTGTCTTGCTTCGGCTCTCCTTCATTTCTCTCGCTCGCTAGTCTCCTACCTTTGCTCATGCACGCTACCTTTGCGTCGCGCACCTTGTCTTTCGCCTTTCACACTTGCATGTTCACCTTTTGCACATTGCATCATTTCCACCTTGTGCTTTGCGCGTTACTTAGCCTTAGTACTTTATTAGTTGTTTGGTGTCCCTCTTTTTACAAAGAGAGGTTTCCCTTTACTCAGTTAGCTGCCCTTGGGATGACGATTTCACTCGCGCCCAGGACTATCTGTGTTTGCTTAGCTTAGCACCAACTTTCCCCACAGTTTAGATTCCTTATCTTCAACTGGAGCCCACTGCAAGGGGAACAGGTAACAAGTCCACTCTCTGCATTTCGCTCGTTTCACATCTCGCACCTTCGCATTTTCGCTTGTATCAGCCTCGCACTTTCGCACTTATAGCGCATGACTTTCCTGCACCTCGCCCTGCCTTCACACACAGCCATTTCACACCATAGGACATGGAGGAACCACAAGTAGACATATTTGGCATGCCCTGGGCATGTTGTAGCACAGCTCCACATTTTTCAGGTGATGCTACTAAACTCATTGACTTTTTGGAGTCAGTAGAACGCCTCACACAACCACTCAGCCTATCAGACAAGGACATTATCAAGTATGCCTTGAAGTATTCAGCACAAAACGAGAGAGAACTATTTCAGACATTTAAAGGTAACAACTTCAAAGACTTTGCTAATGAAGCATTGTACTGTTATCCAGGACATGGTACTTGCTACTACACACACCCTAAAATCACGAAATTCACGCCTATCGAAGCACCCCTTGATGCGCTACCTTTGCATGCCCCTCTGCAACTAAAATGCGCACCAGCACAGCTACTGAGCAAAGCTATTTCACCTGTGTGCAAAATACGTGAAGCTACCCTCACCTCAGCACCCCCAGAACCATTTTTCATCGAAATTGTCTCACCATCAGCCCAAATTGTCTCGCCCACTATCAGCAAACCTCAGGAACACCACCACGTAGTAGAACCTCAAGGATGTGAAGCTATATTGCCCGTGTGCAAAATACATGAAGCTATCCTCACTCCAGCCTGCCTAGAACCATCTATCGTCAGAATCGCGTCACCACCAGTTGAAATTGAATCGCCCATCATCAGCATACCTCAGGTACACCCACCCAAAGCAGAATATCAAGGAAGCGAAGCTATTATGCCCATGTGCGAAATACACGAAGCTATCCTCGCCACAGCCTGCCTAGAACTGTCTATCATCAAAACTGTCTCGCCGTCAGTTTATATTGAAGCGCCCATCATGTGTGTGCCATTGCAGCCTATATCCAAACCAGAACATTAATTAGCCAAAGCTATTTTGCCTGTATGCGAAATACGTGAAGCTATTTTCACTCCAGTCTCACCCAAACCACACTACTAACACAATTTTACCGCAAACAGATCAAGAAGAGCTCAAATGCAATTTGCCTTTGAGCGTGCCTCATTGCATGCATTATACGCCATTAGAGGAGCATTATGCGACTCTAATTTACCACAGTTTGTCTCAGGAAGATTCGCTTCTTACTGATGATTTCGCACTTTTCGCATTTTCAGAGTATATTGAAGACTGCTTGCCAGTTAAGCACCCATGCATCACATCGCCCAAGCACCATGTCTCAGACAACCCTGATGCATCTCTAATGCACTATTACATGCGCGATCGCGCGAAGGGTTCGCTTGAAGAGACACTGTATATTCAGTTTTCGCATTTTTCGTCTTTTTCGCATTTTTCACTCACAACAAGCGATCCACCTGTTGCTGCTACCTTTCCTAAGGATTGTAATGCATCTCAGGACTACCTTGTTGATGGGGCGCACGCGTTTACCTCGCGCTTGGAAGACTATGTCTGTTTTTGCATTTTTCGCATTTTACCTGCTTCATTGTGATTTCAACTTCACATCAGCTTCTAATGCTTTGCCTTTAACCCTGCATCAGCTAGCAATTAACTCACCCTTCAGGCGAAGCCATCGCGCGTCATGCGCGCGAATTTTTGCACGCTGTGCTCTCATTGTTACACAAGAGTTTTCCCACTATTGTGTTTTTATTGTTTCATTGTTTTCGCATTGCATTCCTCTCATTCAAATTAATCCATACTTCATTCAGTCATCCAGGCGCAACTCAGGCGTTCGCCTGACACATACACACTTGCTTATAGCATCGGACATCACATTTAACTTCGCACTTTTCACTCTAATTCGCGTTTTTCGCATTTTCACATATGACACTCATTTGATCTTTATAGCCCATACCAAAGCCTATCTCTTTTCGTTTTGGTGTCAACTAGCACCTCATAGACAGCCCAGGCGACGCATTTGCGCGATATGCTCGTCTGGTTTTGCATATCTTTCATGTTTTTATAGACTAACAGTATACCGGCCTATCCTCGCTCACATAGGGGATATAATCATTTTCATGCCAAAACGCGATAATGCGCTAGCCTTGCGCGCCCCCTATCATGCTGTAGAGCCTCTCTACATGCCTCGCCTCGCCTTGCCTTCGCGCACCCTCGCCCTGCATTGCAAGGTGCAGGAATACATTCATCTGGGCACAAGTCCGCCCGTGTTCGCATTTCGAAGAGAAACAAAGCACCCCAAGCGCGCCAGCTTCGCGCCCATGGCCCATATTTATTCGCATCATCACCCTCATACCCTCGCACACCAATTGCCTCACCAACATTGCCCACAATTTTTGCATCTTTGCTATCATATACCATCAAACATAGAGTATAGTCCATTTTACCCCAGGTTTCATCTGGAGATCTTTGATTTTCATTTCGCATCATTATAACGTCGCCCATAGGGCTAATCTTGTGCTGATATATATGCTATATAGATCCACTTAGAAGAAAAACTCAAAAACATTCTTAGATTGTGCCCGCTGTAGAAAGCTGATTTCTACTGGGCTCAGCAGAAATCGTACTACCTAGACAACAAATATTTAGGTAGATCTTAGCACAACCTAGTCTGCTATACTTGCAGAGCAAGTGTGTTCGATCCTATAGGGGTTGCTAATTGGTATTAGTAGTAAAAATGTGTCAGTAATGCAAATAACAAAATGTCTGATGGTGCGAGACGATGTCCGAAGGTAATCCGATGATGTCCGAAGGTACTTATCCAATGTCCGAAGCCAAAGTACGATGTCCGAAGCCAAAGTACGATGTCTGAGATTTCAGACTTTCGGACTTCACGATAATAGGTCAGAAACTTTATAACGAGTGTCGGATTGTGAGCGGTATGCGCGAGTATAATGAGTGACGGCGTATGACGGTGAACGAATGGTAATATTTTGCAATGCAACTAAGAACTACGAGAATATTCTGGGTGATCCACAGAGTCAGGAAATGGCTCCTAACTACTGGATGATGATTGCTACGGGTCACTACAGAGTATTTAAGTAAGTACGTAGAGATTTGGAATACTACAGGTGAAGATAGTAGCGATATATTTCGGGTCCAATGTCCTATGTAATAAGACACAAGGTACTGCGGACATGTAATAATGTAGTCCGAATGTCAGAAAATGCGCATGGGAATAACTACGCACCTAGTGAGGCTAGTTTGGATGGACAGGACACGGGATGGACAAGTGCGCGCGAAGTGCGATCGACCGATGCGATGTCCGAAGGTCCGATGCACTGGATCCAATACGGAGTGTTTCAGACATGTGCGAAAGTGCGTCGGACATGTGCACATATGTTTTGGGTGTTGATGTGAGTATGAAAATCCGTGGTTTCGAGCCCAATGCCGCGACCATCGCTACACCGAACAGATGCAAATTTTGCCTTGGTGGTGTGGAATATGATTCAGAAAAAAGAAGTTGGCATGAATACAAGTTTTCAGATAAGTTCATTGTTTCAGCACACACTTGCTAAAAAAGAGCTGCTCGTATTCTGCCTCGGTTGCAAGCATCTACCAAATTTCTGAGGGGAAGTGTTGGATACAAGTTATGTCATCATAATGAGATACATGCCTTGATGAAAAAATTTTGCACACCAGCAATTTTTGTGACTGTCAATCCTCATGATCTTACCAGTAGTGTAATTCCCATGCTTGCAGGTATTGAATTAGAAGAATGGATGGTGATGAGTTCATTTGAACAGGCCAAATTAGTGGCTGCAAGGCCAGATGCTGCTGCTGTTGCATTCGATTTACAAATCCAAGCATTTGTTGATATCATAGTGAGATACAAACATGGCCCTGGTGTGTTTGGTCATTGTCAGGCATATTATGGGATGGTTGAAACGCAAGGGAGAGGCACCTTATATTGTCATATGCTTCTCTGGATTGTAGGAAATCCAAGTTCTCAGGTTTTGCATGACAGGATGGCAGAAGACAATGATTTCAAAGGCACTATGTTTGCTTGGGTAGAGAATATTATTAGTTGCAAGTTACCATATGATAAGGGCCCATACCTGAGTGATGCACTGCAGATATCAGAAAACTGACAAGGGCAACAGAAGAAGGAGATCCTCGTCTGAAAAAACAACCGCAGTTAGTGACATTGGACGAGCTGTCATTTGAACATGAATTCACGCAATTTTTGAATCATTTAGCAGTTGAATGCAACTGGCACGTCCATAATGATACATGTTATAAACATTTAAGAAGTGGAGAAAAAAAAGGAGACACTAATTGTAGGATGCGTTTAGATGGTAGGTTGCAGGAAGAAACAGTCATAGACAAAGAAACTGGTTCTATTGAACTTTAGTGGTGGCATAATTGAGTCAACAATTACACAGACTTGATTTTATTTTTATTGCAATATAATACAGACACACAGTTTGTTGGTTCAGGCCAAGCAGTGAAAGCCATAGTGTTTTATATAACTGAATACATTACTAAAGGAGATGTTCCAATGTATGTTGGCTTGCAGGCACTCGATTATGTTACTAAAATGCATGAACTAAAGTATAGTGATGCAAAAGATGTCGATGATGCTGTCACAAGTACCTTTAACAAATCATTATTCTTTCCTAAGTCTTCCTAAGCACCAACACACAGCGCCTAAGTCAAACCCTAACCCTACAGTAAAAGTGTCTACCAGTTCGGAAATCCCCTTAGCACCTACAACATGTTACAAGAACATCTAGATGCTTGGGCCCCTACTATTTTTCTCCTGATCCTCCTCGTATCAGCCCTCGCATCATACCCTTACCCAGACCTTACTCTTGTCATCCTCGTCATCCTCACATTCCCTTTCGCCCTCTACCTGTCACTTCAGCAAAGCCAGTACATTTGGCCGGATCCCTTCGCTGACGAAGCATACCCATGCTCCGTTTCGCCACCTGACTGATCCTGCGGACAGTCTCCTGACCCTTACCGTCTGGACGGTAAACTATGACACGATGCATGACGCATCCCCTTTGCCCTATTTTCCTTTCTTGATCTCTGACTCGATACGCAGTCGCACATGCGACTTATACTTAGACCCGCAGTTGCACGATCGTGCCCCTGCGTGGTTCGTTTCTCATTTCTGATCTTTGACTCACTTTCTTATCCAGCACGTTCTACCTGGATCGAACGTGCCTTCCTATTATGGTCTTACCCTTTACCGATTGCCTCTCCCGGTAGTACGAGTTATCATCCACTAATACGTCCCCTGTCCTCTATATAAACTCGCTACCATGTACCATATTCCCTAACTTGAATCTACTTGGTTCTTGACCTCCTACTCTCACCAGAGTGATTCTTCTGCCTCGCCAGCAGTCTATATTCTATCTTCTTATCTGCTCATCGCGGATAAGCCTATAGTCTCGATCTTTACTCATCGACTTCGTCGACGAGCAAAGCCCCTGTTAACTAGTCGGACTTCTGTCCTTCTAATTAAACGACGATCCTTACGATTAACCTTCGGGTGTCGTAAGCCTAGGCCGATATAGCTTATCGTCTCGCACCCGCGTGACATAAGCTACCCGATTTGGACATAGGCGTCAAATCGTACTTGCCGAAGACACGCCAAGTACGACCCCTAACCTTGGGCTAGCCCAAGGATGTCCACAGACCGTTGACGACACAAGCTCTGTTTGAGCGTCGCCAACAGATACCATCCAAGTCGTAACACAACACATGTCTTCGATGTGACTAATGAAGAAGACAAGTTCTTTGATTGTGAATAGATTAGATTAGATATGATAAGATAAGATATGGTCATGTGATACTTCTTTAATATTCTACGATGTTCTATGGTACGATTCTCTTTTCCTTTTTATGATTGGCTAGTAGTTGTATCTCAGTTTCAATCTCAGTTTCAATAGTTGTATATAGGTAGCACGTCTTGGTCGATAGCTCCTTAGTTCAAACCTCTTGTATCTACATCATTGTAGCAATCCAAGATGTCCTTGCTCATTCTCTTTGTTGTGATAACCTTAGTCTGAGTCCTAGTCTTGGCCCAGCATTAATTTGTTATTGGGTTGTGACAGATACTCACACAGCATGAAACTTGATCACAAAATCAGTCAATGTGTTACAAGAACATCTAGACGCTTGGGCCCCTACTATTTTTCTCCTGATCATCCTCGTATCAGCCCTCGCATCATACCCTTACCCCGACCTCACCCTTGTCATCCTCGTCATCTTCGCATTCCCTTTCGCCCTCTACCTGTCGCTTCAGCAAAGCCAGTACATTTGGCCGGATCCTTTCGCTGACGAAGCATACCCATGCTCCGTTTCACCACCTGACTGATCCTGCGGACAGTCCCCTTGCCATTACCGTCCGGACGGAAACCTATGATATGATGCACGACGCATCCCCTTTGCCCTGTTCCCTTTTATGATCTCTGACTCGGTGCGCAGTCGCACATGCGACTTATACTTAGATCCGCAGTTGCACGATCGTGCCCCTGCGCGTTTCACTTCTTATTTCGATCGTTGACTCACTTTCTTATCTAGCACGTTCTACCCAGACCGAACGTGCCTTCCTATTATGGTCTTACCCTTTACCGATTGCCTCTCCCGGTAGTACGAGTTATCACCCACTAATACGTTTCCTGTCCTCTATATAAACTCGCTACCATGTACCATATTCCCTAACTTGAATCTACTTGGTTCTTGACCTCCTACTCTCACCAGAGTGATCCTTCTGCCTCGCCAGCAGTCTATATTCTATCTTCTTATCTGCTCTTCGCGGATAAGCCTATAGTCTCGACCTTTGCTCATCGACTTCGTCGACGAACAAAGCCCCTGTTAACTAGTCGGACTTCTGTCCTTCTAATTAACGACGATCCTTACGATTAACCTTCGGGTGTCGTAAGCCTAGGCCGATATAGCTTATCGTCTCGCATCCGCGTAACATAAGCTACCCAATTTGGACATAGGCGTTAAATCGTACTTGCCGAAGACCCGCCAAGTACGACCCCTAACCTTGGGCTAGCCCAAGGACGTCCACAGACCGTTGATGATACAAGCTCTGTTTGAGCATCGCCAACAGATACCATCCAAGTCGTAACACAATGTGATGATGGGGCATCAGGAGACATCTCATCAACAGGTCATGAGTTATTTGATAGGCAGAGGAGATTATCATACTAGCCGTGCTTTCCAGACATTCAAGTGGTTTGAATTTATTAATGCCATTGACAAATTTGAACTAAATTTGCGCAACTGTGAGGATCCAGATGTCAAGGATGATAATCCCTCAATGTACATTGAAGAATCTATGACTGTAGATATTTCAGCAGAAAACTTAGAATTTACCAGTGACATACAAGATTATACCAATGAGAAGCTAGGGATTTTGTGTGCCCACAATGACCATTGAACGTTGAATGACAATTATTTGCAAATTACTAGTACATGACCAGCAAGTATATTAATTATAATCAATATCTCTTGCATTCTGGAGCAACTTGTTGAGCTCGTGAAGATTCCCAGCAGCCATTAACTTGTCAACTGCTCTGGGAGTCATAGGTCCAGACATTGTGTAGTCCCATTCATCAGCCACCAGGTTCTCCATAAAATTGAGGTGGTCTTGCTTATAAATGAACTTTTAGGACTTGTAATGCTTCAAGTGTGGCTGGTGTAAAGAGTAAATCTTCGCTGGGCTCAGCAGAAATGGTACTACCTGGACAACAATATTTAGGTAGATCTTTAGCACGACCTATGCTGCTATACTTGCAAAGCAAGTGTGTTCGATCCTAAAGGGATTGCTATATTGTATTAGTAGTATAAATGTGCCAGTAAGTACGTGTTTCAGTCACATACACCTTCCAATCAGTTACCTATCATGGTAAGATGAGAAAAGTCTCCTCATCTTCAAAATGGACCGCGCATCTAAAATGGCCAGTGGGAATGGCAGACTGGTGGGGGGCAACCTCACACCAGGGCATTCGCAAGTCCAGAGATGTAGAAAGGCAAAGGCCTTGTAGACTAGTTAGTACTGTCCAACATAGGGTACATTACCCCAATGGACAGAAATTGGAACCAAAAAAAAAAATGCACCAGTAATGCAAATAACAAATGTCCAATGCTATGAAACGATGTCTGATGGTAATCCGATGATGTCCAAGGGTACTTATCCAATGTCTGAAGCCAAAGTGCAATGTCCAAGATTTTGGACTTTCAGACTTCACAATAATAAGTCGAAAACTGTATAACAAATGTCAGTTTGTGAACTGTATGCGCAAATATAATGAATGAACAGTAATATTTCACAATGCAACTAAGAACTACGAAAATATTCTGGGTGATCTGCAGAGTCTGGAAATGGCTCCTAACTACTGGATCATGATTGCTATGGGTCACTACAGAGTGTTTAAGTAAGTACATAGAAATCTGGAATACTATAGGCGAAGATAGTAGTGATATTTTGGATCCAAGAATCTAGGTAATAAAACATGAGGTGCTGTGGACATGTAATAACATGGTCCAAATGTCAGAAAATGTGCACGAAAGTAACTGCGCACCTAGTGGGGCTAGTTTGGAAGGACAGGACATGGTATGGACAAGTGTGTGCAAAGTGCAATTGGCCGATGCGATGTCCAAAGGTCCGATGCAGAGTGGCTCAGACATGTGTGCGTATGTTTTGGGTGTTGATATGAGTGTCCAAAACGGTAGTTCCAAGCCCAGCACCATGATCATTGTTACACTGGAGATAAGTTGCTGTGCTATAGAGTGCAGGTCTCTTTGCTGGATGAAAATATGTGCTCAGAAGGTACAGATGAAGCTTGAGCAGGCAGGACATCCATAGTGATGTGAAATAGAAGCAGAAATGTATGTTCTTTTTGCTGACATGATACCTGTCAACCTTATGAATTACAGTCATGTAGTGTACCTGCATCTTTGCAATGAGAAAACTCACATTTGGCATCCTTCCTGTCAAGTTCAAGTTCCTTGCAGGAGTGTTCCTCTGTGGTTTCTAGTGTTGGGGAGTGTACCACTGGGTCAGAGACAATGATAGTAGGGGTTGGAGGGATAGTGCTATTAGTAGTAGAAGATAAGCACTGCACATTTACTTTCAGGTTGTTCATGCAGCCAAATCCAACCACTCAAGTTTGATGCTTAGGTTGACAGTTATGATTTGGTCTATGAAAAATGACTCAATAAGTGAAAAAAAAATTGAAACATGCTCATCAAAAGTGCGCATATGCATGTTTTCCTTCCTTCATTGATGTACTGGTTCAGTTTCTCAAGACCAATGTCGATATGGTGGGATAACTTCCAGATTGTGCTTTGTAATTGGGTCCACTGGCTATTGAGCCTGGGGCCATTCACAGGGGATTTTGATGTATGGATGAAGTGCACCGAATCAATTGTAAATCTTGGACTCAATGAGGTGCAACTTGATTCAAATTGAAGTTTCAAGTTGAAACAATTTTGGTCTTTTCGAACCAAATCAATTTCACATCAAGTTTAACTTGCCTCAATGGCAACACTAATTCCTACAGTATTGCTTCAAATGCCACATGTAAATTGCATTGAATATTCAAGGAAAATCAAAAACTTTATTCAGGGGAAATGTGCTGTAAACTGGGACTGAACATGACATAATCATGTTGTCTTTATCTCCTGTTTATCTGCTGATAATTTGGAATTTCCTACATATATTCCTCTGCCATTATTTCACCTCAGAGTGCGGTGGTACAAACGGTTCCTGACTACAATCGATTTCGGAAATTTGCGACATAAACCAAAGATAAGCAATCCCGCGGACCGCGGTTATCCATGGCACAGCTTCCAGAAATACTGAACAGCAAGCGGAAATATGCGAAAGCGGTTGCAATTGCAATGAATTTCAAATGATCGCAGAGAAGGTCCCAATCCGCCTTCGACGCTTCGACATCATGATGGGCTCACATGTCACGGTGATACTGAGTGTTTGCGACACCTTAGTCTCCAACTCTCTAGGCCCATTCATGTGGGGCCGAACCTAGGTACGTACATCAACAGTATAGGCTTTCTGGGTTAGCAAAACTGACCCCATAGAGTTTTACTAAGATACACCCATAGTTCAACCACCCCTTAGCGCGTGTTTGACCCCCTTACGACTTGCAAACGACACCATCATTTTAGAATCGAGCACCTATCACACATGGACGCACCCCGTATCTCTTTACGTGGCCTGGTAGTGTCATTATCACCATTCATAATCAATTCATCATAATCTAGACTCTCGGGCTTTACCTAGCGATTTGTGATGTATCGCAAGTCCCCGACGAGCGCCAAGATAGGCTTCACTTCAGTGGAGGTTATAAGATGGCTGCAAGGGGAGGCCTGAACTTGAAAGTGAGCCTTCATCTTGATGTCTCATCCAATCCTGTCAGAATTCGATATCGTTTTTGCTGGAGGTAATCACATATCATCTCTTACTAGTTTTCGCTCTTCACACATTATTTTGTATAGGTGGTGCTACAGCTTGTGTTGTCGCAGGTCGCTTAGCTTTATGCGATCCCTCGCTCAGGATCTTGATTCTAGAAGCCGGTCAACACACCCTCAATAAACCTATTCACGTCCAACCCTATCAATATCCCCTCAACCATGCACCGACGAGCACCACAGTCACATTTAACATCGGAAATCCGTCTCCTCGTCTCAACGGCCGTGCCCCGATCGTTCCTTGTGGTCGTTGCGTCGGCGGAGGCTCATGTGTGAATTGTGCGTAGCATACTTGCAAAGATGAAGAAGACCCTGATAATGAGACAGTTATGGCATACACCCGTGCACCTGCTTCGGACTATGATGATTGGGGAGCCGATGGTTGGGAATCTGAGAATTTGATTCCCCTCATGAAGAAGGTCTCCAATTCGTTGTCAGGATTTTTATTCAAATTGCTTATATGTTCACGTTATAGCTAGAAACATATCAGGTGCAGCCTGATCGTCCAACTCACGGATATGATGGACCCATCAAAGTGTCAGCTGGTGGGTGTAAAATGGGTATCGCGGACGAATTCATCCAGGTTGGCACGACCTATCACAAGAGGCAGTATGCCGACGACACCAACGATTTAGAAACATGCAATACATACAGTGTACGCTATCATTTCTCTTTCTCAATCGCGACCATTAACCAGATTTATCTCAGCCATGGCGCAAGTGAGTTCCTGCACTCGTAGACAAATGTGAATTTTCAATTCATGTATATAAAAGGTACATTGACGGGACAACCGGAAGGCGTTCGGACGCGGCTCACAACTATGTCTACAACCAAGCTCACAACCCGAATTTACACGTCTGGGACGGAAAACGCGTGAAGTGTGTCATCTTCGAGTAAGTAGCTATTTGAGATCGCAGCCGCAGCAAACTATTGACAGTTTTTTTTTTTCAAATGAAAGGGACAAGCGTGCTGTAGGTGTTGAGTTTACCAGCGACCCAGTGTCTTGCCCAGACGCTGATCAGTCATCGACTATTGTGAGAGCATCAAAACTCATCGTTGTATCTGCTGGGGCGTTCGGTTCCCCGACGATTCTGGAGAGGTCTGGGATTGGTGCTGAATCGATCCTCAAGCGGTGCGGTGTCGAGCAACTGGTGGATTTACCTGGTGTTGGCGAAAATTATCAAGGTGCGCTTTTAGTTTATTTCAAAAAGCTTGGCTTAGGACAGTCAGATCATAATCTCGTCTTTGCTCCATACTTGGCTGCTGACGGGGCTGTTACTATGGACGCCCTCTGGCGTGGGGAGAGTATCCTACAGGGTAAGCATGTTCTGCCCACGATTGCAGCACTTTATAACTACCGATGTAGAAAGCCTTGCGCAGTGGAACAGCACCGGCAAGTCGTTGATTGCACAAAAGTCGGTGCAAGTTATCATTATCACTGTTTATATGATCCTGATTTGAATCTCAGTGGTCTTGATTCAAAAATAAAGTGGCGTCCTGATGACGAGGAGTTGAAAGCCATGGATCCAGCCTTTCTACCACGCTGGAAGGAGTTCTTCCAGGACCGCCCAGACAAGGCTGTTGCGATATTTTCTGCTTTTGCAGGGTGCGTACGCAATTCCTCGCTCTGATTATATATGAATGCTTATGACAGCCAGATATGTTCAACCGCTCTCGAGGCCGCTTGTTCCTCCTCCTCGCAACTACATGACTACCGGTTATTGTACAGTAATGCCCTCTGTTTACCTCATGGGTGTGATTTAATCTCTTCATAGCTTTACCCCGTGTCCATTGGAAGTGTTCATATCGACGTGACAGAGGACGGCAAAGAAGGAATGGACTTTAATACAGGCTTCCTAGACGAGTGAGTGGGTGTATTTCATTGTAGGGCACTTTGCGTGACTGAGACACTCGACACAGTCCGTCGGATATTGTACCTCTTAACTTTGCGTACAAAAAGATGCGCGAACTTTTTCGACGCATGGCCTCCTATCGAGGTGAGGTCACTGCTGGCCATCCTGATTTCCCCGAGGGAAGCGCTGCAGCTTGCGGAGAAGCTTCGGGGCCAGTGGACTTGAACGCGCCTGACATCGTTTACACTGCTGAAGATGACGAGGCAATTGATCGATTCCACCGCGACATCGGCAAGTACTGAATTGCCATCTCCTTTGTCATGATAAATGACCGAATCGAATACTAGTGCAAACAACATGGCACTCGGTGTGTGCCGCTGAAGATGTATGATTTTATATCTGATCTTTGTATTTGTAGCTTGGGACTTGCGCCATGAAACCACGGGCAGATCAAGGAGTCGTCGACGCTCGGCTAAATGTATACGGGGTGTCAAACCTGAAAGTTGCAGATCTGTCCATCTCGCCGTTGAATGTTGGCACGGTGGGTCCTGAACAAGGAATTGTTGATGTGGGATCTAATGATACACACAGAATACATATTCTACGGCACTTCTCATTGGAGAGCGGGCTGCGATGATCATTGCCGAAGACTTGGGTATTCATTACATTTGATATGTGTATGTATTTACGAGCTCCTGGAGGTTTGTGTAGGATACGTTTTTCCAATCCATGAAACTGTGTTTTCCAAGCCACCGACTATGCAAGATTATATAGTTCAATGAAGATGTCCATACTAGTTGTGTAGATACAGACGAGAACTACCGTAAAGAATGTTGTAGTCAGACTGAAACTGTAGGATGAAAGAAAACCATGGTCTTCATCGATGACTATGCACATACTATAGTACAGTGCAAGCATGGCAACTCTCCCTACTAGGACCGCAGGTTCGATCCATGTGTTTATATCAAAATGCGATAGAAAAAATTACAGCCATTCGCATAACGCTACGCCAAAAAAATACCTACATACAGAGCGGTCACTTGATTTTAATTTTCCGATCAGATGCTAGTGGGGATGACGGTCGATCTCGATCCACTAAGTGATGAGGAGGGGTCCAGCGGTCTACATGTGCATAGGAGTGTCACTGTTGCTTTCCTCGCTTAAAATATACCTATATTGATGTATGTTCATTCGCAAAATATTCGACGCGAAACAGTCAAGGGAGCACCTGAAATGCGAGCTCGCTGTAGCAGACAGCGAGCACGAAGGTTTACGGGACTTGCCGAACGTTGTCGGCTAGCATACTGGGACGTTGCCGAGGTGCCTAGTACCCACGATAAACACCCGCTAAGCAATTATTCATCCACCTCTAATTACGTGGGAGTCACTTCAGTGGCGAACAATAGAAACAGACTTTAATTTTGATGTACACGTAGTAGGCACGCCACGCAAGGCTGCCCGGGCCGTATTAACTTGTTCAGACGTGGCTTAGTGCAGTTCGAGTCATTATTGCCATTCAGTTTTGATCGCGTGATTTGTGACGTGTCACATGTCCCCCCCCATCATGCACGCCGTCGTGTACTAACTAATACCGATGACAGACTAAAGGTTATAAGATGAAAACAGCAAGGGGCAGCCTGAAAGTAACCCTCCAGATATCTTATGTCACATCCAATCCCGTCAGAATTCGATATCATTTTGGCCGGAGGTAAACAAATATCATCTTGCAGTAGTTTTCCATCTTCACACATCATTCTGCGCAGGTGGCACTACAGCCTGTGTCGTCGCAGGTCGCTTAGCTGCATGCGATCCCTCGCTCAGAATCTTGATTCTAGAAGCTGGTCAACACACCCTCGATAAACCTATTCATGTCCAACCCTACCAATATCCCCTCAACCAAGCACCGACGAGCACTACCGTCACATTCAACATCGGAAATCCGTCTCCTCGTCTTAACGGTCGTGCACCGATCGTTCCTTGCGGTCGTTGCGTCGGTGGAAGCTCATGTGTGAATTGTGCGTAGCATAAATACAACCATGAACAGGACTCTGATAATGAGATAGTTATGGTATACACCCGTGCACCTGCTTCGGACTATGATGATTGGGGAGTCAGTGGTTGGGAATCGGAGAAATTGATTCCCCTCATGAAGAAGGTCTCAAATTTATTTTCAGGATATTTGTTCGAACTACTTATACATTCACGTTCTAGCTGGAGACATATCAAGTGCACCCTAATCTTCCAACTCACGGATATGATGGCCCCATCAAAGTGTCATCTGGTGGGTGTAAACTGGAGATCGCGGACGAATTCATCCAGGTTGGCACGACCTATCACAAGAGGCAGTATGCCGACGACACCAATGATTTAGAAACATGCAATACATACAGTGTACGCTATCATTTTTCGTTCTCAATTGTGACCATTAATCAGATCTGTCTCAGCCATGGCGCAAGTGAGTTCCTGCACTCGTAGGCGGTTGCGCATTTTTGGCTCATGCACAAAAGGTACATCGACGGGATAACTGGAAGGCGTTCTGATGCAGCTCACAACTATGTCTACAACCAAGTTCACAACCCGAATTTACATGTCTGGGATGGAAAGCGCGTGAAGCGTATCATCTTCGAGTGAGTAGATCTCTGAGATCGCAGCTCCAGTAAACGTTTGATGGCCTTTTCCAATGAAAGGGACAAGCGTGCTGTGGGGGTTGAGTTCATCAGCGACCCAGTGTCTTGCCCAGACGCGGATCAGTCGTCGACTATTGTGAGAGCATCAAAACTCGTCGTTGTATCTGCTGGGGCTTTCGGTTCCCCGACGATTCTGGAAAGGTCTGGGATTGGTGCTGAATCGATCCTCAAGCGGTGCGGTGTCGAGCAACTGGTGGATTTACCTGGCGTCGGAGAAAATTATCAAGGTGCGCTTCTAATTCATTTCAAAAGCTTGACTTAGGACCCTCAGATCACAATCTCGTCTTTGTTCCATACTTGGCTCCTGACGAGGCTGTTACCATGGACCCCGTCTGGCGTGGGGAGAGTATCCTACAGGGTAAGCACGTTCTCCCCCACGATTGCCGCACTTTACAACTACCAAAATGTAGAACACCTTGCACAATGGAACAGCACCGGCAAGTCGTTGATTGCACACAAGTCGGTGCAATTTATCATTATCACTGCTGGTATCGTGCTGATTGGAATTTCAGTGGCCTTGATTCGAAAATCAAGTGGCGTCCTGATGACGAAGAATTGAAAGTCATGGATCCAGCCTTTCTACCACGCTGGAAGGAGTTCTTCCAAGACCGCCCAGACAAGGCTGTTGCAATATTTGCTGCTTTTGCGGGGTGTGTGCATATTGCTAAGTTTTGATGATGTAGGAATGCTTATGATAGCCAGATATGTTCCACCGCTCTCGAGGCCGCTTGTTCTTCCTCCTCGCAACTACATGGGTGCCGGTTATTATACAGTACTACTCTTCGTCTGCCTCGTTGTGTTTTTACTGAATATATTGAATAGCTCTACCCCGTATCTATCGGGAGCGTTCATATCACCGTGACAGAGGACGGCAAAGAAGGAATGGACTTTACTACAGGCTTCCTAGACGAGTGAGTGGATGCATTTCATTTTAGGGCACTTTGCATGACTACAACACTCCTAGTCCATCGGATATTGTTCCTATTAACTTCGCGTACAAAAAGACGCGCGAAATCTTTCGTCGCATGGCTTCCTACCGAGGTGAAGTCGCTGCTGGCCATCCTGATTTCCCAGAGGGAAGCGCTGCAGCGTGCAAAGAAGCTTTGGGGCCAGTGGACTTGAACGCGCCTGACATCGTCTACACTGCCGAAGATGACGAGGCAATCGATCGATTCCATCGCGACATCAGTAAGTGCTGACTTGTCATCTCCTTTGTCACGATGAATGACCGAATCGAATCTCAGTGCAAACAACATGGCACTCGGTGTGTGCGGCTGAACCTTCCATGATGTTACGTCTAATCTTTGTATTTGTAGCTTGGGACTTGTGCCATGAAACCGGAGGCAGATCGTGGAGTCGTCGATGCTCGACTAAATGTATATGGTGTGTCAAACCTCAAAGTTGCAGATATGTCCATTTCGCCATTGAACGTTGGCACGGTGAGTACTCGACAGGGAATTGTTGATGTGCGATCTAATGACATACACAGAACACGTATTCGACGGCACTTTTGATTGGAGAGCGGGCTGCGATGATTATAGCCGAAGACTTGGGTCTCAATTATGTTTGACCGTCGGCTGGAGGTCTGAATTTTATAAGTATAGCAAATGCTCCGATGGTCACGTGACCACATAAGCGTTACGCAACATGAATTTTTCTCGATACCTGCATACTTGTCGTACTCACTAAAGCTACTGCAAAGTATGTGATGTGCATAGCGATCAATCCTCGTCACAGCAGCAAGTCCGTTATGCTACCGTGACGTGTACGTGAATGTTTTTGCGACCTTCGAAGCCAATTGTGTCTTCATGCCACATTGACCCTCGAGGTCCCTCTGTAGTTTAGCCTGCATCTTCTTATCCTCCGTATCAGAATACCCAAAATATCGCATGAACGAGCGGCCTATCGATCCATGCTTCCATCCCCCTAACACTGGCGTGTCGGCTGCATACTCCCGGATCAGCTCACGCACGGCTTCTCTCGATGCCTTGTACTTCACAGCCTCATTCTTCAGGGTCGTTACGCATGCATGTCCCCCCACGACGATCTGGGATGCCTCTAATGATGCACAATTCCGCGTCCACCATTCCTCCATGACTGGCTCGTCCTCGAGGCACGTCACCACCATGACTACGGGGACTCGACGCTGATATAACACTTCGTGGAATAACTGGTAGTTGCTCCGCAATGCGCTACTATCACGGCCTTTTTCAACGCAATATATCAACAGATTGGTGCCGCCGTATGCATCAAGCTTGCGGAGAAGGCCGCTGGCATTCTTGATGGACCGGTGGTACTCCTCTGGCTCGAGTTCTGGGTTCTCGATTCCCATCGTGTCGAAGATGTTGCATTGCATCTCATCATCAAAGAGCTTTGGTAACACATATTTGGTCCATGTGAGGGTGCAACGCTTGAGGTTGGAGCCAGTTTTAGCTATGTCCTGGTCTGCAATGAGGTTTATGAGGGAACTCTTTCCAGCGCCCATTGCGCCGAATATAACTATGTTTTTAGCGGGAATGGGAGTTTTTTTCTTCGCCATCGTGATGTTGTAATGGGTAGCTGGCGGTTTTTGGGAAGTGGTCAAGGTGAAGCGAGTTGTTCCTTTGGACAGTTCGAATTGACTTAGCTATCTGTCAGGGCTGTGACGTCTTGTACCCTTATATAATGCAGAAGCTTTCTGACACGACTTTTCCGCGCCCTGGTTTAGCACTTTGGCACGCGATAGCCGTGCTGCTACGGGCGGGGGCGTAACTTGAATACGTGTGCAGGGTATTCATCAAACACGCCACCTTACAAAATCGCGTGCAGAATTGCAAGCATGTGGTAGTCAGCGAGTTGTAGCTGGGCAGCACGCACAGGAACTATTGTAGGTGAGTGTGCTCCACGTTGACTTTCCATGTCTCATGTCGTAGGAAGATAGCAGAACCGAATATTTTAGTCCCACCTACCAGTCAAATTACATGGTCATAATGAAACAGCTACTCTGTCCAGCTATCGTAACCAGTAAACATAGTGGAAATTCTGTCATCTATTAAGTTTTTGGATCACTTCTTTCGCTAGGTTATCATCCATCCCGCAGCGCTTCGTGAGGACCCCAAAAACGTCCGACTTGCTTGGACGTCCCGTTAAGAGGTCTTTCAACTTTCCGATGAACCTGGCAAGCCACCCATCTCCTCCGTTCCAGTCCACCACCGTATCCTCATGCCGTGTGATCAGTTCCCTTACTTCTACTTTGGATGCTTCATACTTCTGCTTGTATCTTTGATCCAGGTTGGTCGCTGCAGTGATACAAGCATGATCGACACACTTGACTGCATGGTGGTCGAATGATCCCTTGTTCCGCGTGTACCAATCGTCCATGGGTTCCTCCCTTTCCAGGTGAGTAACGATGAGTACAACTGGTATCTTCTCCTCGAAGAAAAATTCATAGAATAGCCTGTAGTTTGTGACGAACGTTGGTGGTATCCTGCCTGCCTTGATGCAGTACAAGAGCAGATGGACTCCTCCATTATCCCTCAGCTCCCTCATCAACTTGTCAGCATTGGTGACTGCGTCGAGAAATCCGCTAGGTTTCATGCGATTGCCGTCGACCCCGGCAGTATCGTAGATGCGATACAGCTCGTCTTTAATGGTGACATCATACGCTTCATAGCGCAATGTACAATGTTTGGTGTCCGGAGAGGTCTTAGCGACCTGGCGCTCTGCGAGGAGATTGATGACGGAGCTTTTCCCGACGCCGCTCTCTCCAAAAATAACAATGTTTTTGGCGGACATTTGGCAATGGACCTAGCACGGCGGTTCTTCAGTACTGGGCTTATAGCAAAAGGGGGTACAAGGGTGAGCTCACGATTATAGCGAATTTGTTGCTTCTGGCTGGGTGGATGATTTTGGACGAGAGCGATAATTCGATGGGTTCTGATACTTATGCCACTGCAGGCACGACACGGTACACGATGAAGGCTACGACCTGCAAACCAAACATGAGGTTGGATATTAACTACCTTTTTTGTCGAACCCAGAACCCAGCTTTGCCAGTTGCAACGTGTAAGCAACGTTGTGAAAAGGAATCAACCTTTATTTCCTGGACAGTTCAGAATTCAAAACTGCACATCGTAACAGCACGTGTTACCCTTGCGTCCACGACCTGCTTCGGAAATGGCCTGGAAGGCTGGCCGAACTATCGATCCAGCCTAGGCCAAGGGTGTTGCTGCTGGCCTCCATTATCGTTTGTCTATTTCTGCTATGTCCTTTTTGTTATTGACGCCTAGTACCCAGTCCAATCAATGAATGTCATTCACAGGTGCAACATGGTCTGCAGCATGACTGCTAAGCGTACCTTCTTATAAATCCCACGAGCGCCCTTGACAGTTGAATTTTGTCGCGAGTGTACATAGTGTCTTGACTTCTTGGCAAGCTCCTCTTGCAAAGTAGCCCTGCCTGCATGGCGGAACCCATACCTGAAGAGTGAGTCCCCTCCCATATCAGCTGTATGCTTTGACCCTTCATCGATTACCTTGTGGTGATCCCAATAGTGACTTGACTTATCTGAGACGTTGAAGCACGGAAAACCATAAATAAACAGCGGGTCATTTGACATGGTTTATTGGTATACAACTCAGATCTTTGGTACAATAAAGGACTACGTCGCCAGTGGTGCATTCGCAAACGTTTACAAATGTGAATGGAGACAACCATCGGGCGTTGTCAAGAAGTCTGGCCAATGGGCAGCGCTGGCGTCACTTGCTGATCAGCCTGTCCATAATCGCACTACAGGTCGCAGTAAAATCCTTTAGGCATCACATTGATCATTCCTCGGAGCAGGACTTAAGAGTAAGGGTCTATGTCTTCTGTTCTGAACACTATTTCATGTTGATTTGCTAGGGGTTTCGACGACATGGGCACACCTCGTCCACGATAATATCGTCAAACTTTACGGAACGACAGAGGACTTCGGGCCAACCACAGCCCTTGTCTTCCAGTGGTTTCCGGACGGCACGCTAGCCCATCTAATCACAGAACAGGGTGCTACATTAACCATCAAGTCCAAGTTCAAGCTGGTAACTTCAAGTTAAACAAACCTGTTTAGCTGCAATGAACCTAAAATGAATTATTCTCATCCATGAGCTTCACGGCATAGCATCTGGGCTCTACTATCGTTTGTATTCTATTCAGTCTTCTTGTTTCGACTAATAAAATTGCCGTCAGTTCACTCTTTTCCCGTTGTTCACGGTGACATTACGAGTGTGAGCTCATCCTCCTTATAATCAATTGCACTCCCTGAACAATGCAGTCTAACGTTTTGGTAGATCTCAAGGAAGGAGAATACAAGGCTTGCCTAACGGACTTCAGCTTGTCGAGTGTCCTCTGCAATCGTTTGAGAAAGTGCGAAATTGAAGGATCAACTGTTCGGCCTGGTGCAATCAGGTGGACTGCGCCTGAGTTGCTTACGCTACATGATCGCCCTTCCGATATCAAACCGACCACGTAGAACGACATCTATTCCTTTGGTTGTGTCATGTACCATGTAAGTGTAAGCGACTCAATCTACAAAATCCACATCCAATGTATCATTCATCCCAGTTGTTGACTCTGACTGTTCCTTGGCATGACATCGACGAATTTCAAGTCCTTCAAAAAATCCAAAATGGAGAGGCTATCCCGCGTCCTGATGTATCCGGGGCGATGTCTGACGTCACGAACGCCTTCTGGAATCATATCGAGCAGTGTTTGTCAATGGATCCACCTGCTCGTCTATGTGCCTTCGTGGCTATGACCTTCATAGCGGACAGACTAAAGGCTTTGAAACAAGACGTAAGCTCATGACTTGTCTCTCGTCACGTAGGAATAGATTTTCTGACTCTTACAGGATATCCTTGTTGGAGGGGTACAGGAAGGCCATCAAAGTGCATGCTCGGTCGCAGAGCAGGTATGGACTCGCCAGCTTGTGGTTGAAGTAACTCTTAAATGTCTATCGACCAGTCTTCCTTGCAAACCGTTTTCCTGTCATGCAATACCAATCCCTCTAGTTCTCTAACATACCATTCCTTATCTACAGTCACATCACTAGTGAGCGTCTACTGGTGCATTGTTTTTACGTGTACTGATACTTCCGCGCGGTCAAGTTACTTGCTGGCCCTTTGAATGTGTTGCTTTTCGGGGAGACTGGGGTCGGAAAAGCTCCATTATCAACTTGATTATGGGACGTGACGTCGCATAGACGTCGTCAGGTGCAGAAACCTGCACATTGCAGCATACCTATGAAGTCAATCTTGCTGATCGCCGATTCAAACTTTGAGAAGTTTCCTCACTCTGCTCAATGGGTCTTTGACTCTCTGAAACTTGTCGAGCTCGCTTGCGCAATACACTATGTGCGTTGTTTTATTATACTTCACCTCATACGTAGTTGGTACGATGTTACTGCATCAATATCCCCATTGTCACTATTTACAGCTACATATAATTTACTATATACCTATAATGTTCGCGAATAGCAAATCATAAATACAAAGTGTACAAAACGCACGCCCACGACAGAACCAAGATCTCGGACCAGAGTAACAATGTAAATCTTAAGCATGTTTGACTACCAAATTTAAAGCAGGCATTCGACCAAGTGAGATCAATACGGCACCACAACAGGTTTGCCTATCGAAAAGTCACAAGTCACATGTTATTGCAAAATGCATGTCAATGATCAGGAAAAGATGATGATGTGTCGTAGCAGGAGTCGTCAAAGTAAAGTGGTTAAAAACATGTCATGAAAAGGGACAGGAATGAGAAAGAAAAGGATACAATGATCAAAAGAGATGAAAATCGGAGAGAAAGGAGGAACCTCTAGAGAAAACTCTTCCTCTTCTTCTTCTTTTCGTCCTTCTTGGCAACAAGCTCGGCATGCGGCTCATCCACGCTCTCCCTAGCACTTCCAGTAGGAGGCGTAGATGCACTCCCACCCGCTGTTCCAGCACCACTTGCACTGCTCGCTAGACTCGCGTCTCGCACGCTCGTCTCCCGGCGCAAAACCCCAGGCAATTTCGGAGCTTTACCGCTGAGACTTATCTTCCTAGCAAGTCTCTGGATATTATGCGTCGAGAGGGCTCTCCTAGGCTCAGGCGAACTCGTGCGCGGAGGTGTAGTCACTTTCGCGTCAAACGTAACACTCGCGCTTTGTACATGGCCAGGTATGGCTGAACGCTCTGGATGGCTGTGGACGGAAGGCGAGTCAGACGTGGACACTGTAGTCGGGAACGTTTGGGGTAGGTCTTCGGAGATGGGGAATGATATATGTGCATGTGGTTTGGCTGACAGGGATGCTGGGACGACTTGGGAAGAATCGACATGGACAGCTATAGGCTCTTCGACTTCGACTGCTGTGCTCCGTGTTTCAGATTCGGGTATGTCTACAACAGGGGCATCGTCATCGGCATCGTATCCAGCCGGGGCTTTGGGATATTCGGACGCGCTGATCTGGTCTGCCCACATGGATGCAAAGATGCCATTGAGTTCAAGAAGCTCCCTATGTGAGCCCTGTTCAACAATCCGCCCGTCCTTGAGAACCATAATCCTTCAGAAAGAAAACAAATCAGCACCAAGCAAATAGGTCCAAAAAACGACTCACAAATCAGCCCCCTTAATCGTACTCAACCGATGCGCAATACTCAAGCAACTCCTTCCGTCCACAAGTCTCCCAAGCGCACCCTCCAAAACCCCGCGCTCCGTCGCACTATCCAACGCACTCGTAGCCTCATCCAAAAGCAACACCTTCGGGTTCTTCACCATAGTCCTGGCAATCGCCACCCGCTGCTTCTCACCCCCGCTCAGCCTCACGCCCCTCTCCCCCACTTTCGTCTCGTACCCCTCTGGGAAACTCATGATACGGTCATGCATCTGAGCAGCTTGGGCGCTTGAGATGATGGTGCTTTCATCAGGAGGAGTGGTGGATGGTTGCCCATAAGCGATGTTATACCCGATGCTAGCATTGAAGAGCACGGGGTCTTGGGGTACGACGCCCATTGCGCGACGCAGGCTTGAGAGCGTTACTGTGCGGATGTCTTGACCGTCAATGAGAATACGCCCTGAGCCGGGTTGGAGGTCGTAAAAGCGGTAGAGGAGGCGTAGGATGGTGCTTTTGCCTGCTCCGCTTTCGCCAACGAGGGCTACGCGCCCACCACGGGGGACTTTGAAGGATATGTTGTGTAGGGCGGAAGTTTGGTCGTCGTAGGAGAAGGACACGTTATCTGTGGTGGGTTAATATGAATTTGTGGGGAGTAGAGTGAGGGTTACGCACCAAATTCAACTTCACCATTCGAGACTACCAATTCCTTAGCATCAGGTGCATCAACCACTTCAGTGGGCTCATTGAGAAGGTGAAGCAATTTCTCGGTATCAATGAGGCTTTGATTAATTGCGCGGTATACGCCGCCGAGGTTCGACAGAGGGAGATAGAGCTGGTGTGGATGACATCGACGTAGTTTGTGATTAGAACACGTCAACTCTGCATGACATGAAAGAGATCAGGTACCCACCTGCGCATAATAAGTTATGAACACCACAAAATCACTAGTATTATTCTGTCCCCTCGTGATGCGCGACGCGACGAGCAAGGAACCAACCAGAAGACCGGTGGTGATGATGAGCGTTTGTACGAGGTTCAGGAGGTTGAGAGATACTATAGGTATGATCAGTATTTACGTTCGCGACTGAAATGAAACACAGTTTTGGTTTGAAAACGAAAGATGGTTTTTGAAGCGAGACGTGGTTTTCGGATTGATGAGACAAAAACACTCACGAACAACCCTCTTCTCCAAAGTCTGGTACTCCCCAATAGCCTCCGTATACCTCTGCGCCTCATACTCCTCCCCACCGAAATACTTGACAGTCTCGTAATTAAGGAGACAATCCGTATGGATCCCACGCGTTTTCTAACATGCATAGAAATTAGACCCTCTTAATAGAGAAAACGATGCAGCATTGAACACTCACCACATCCCGCTCATTCATCTGCCTCCGTATCCTAGTCCTATACCTCGTAAGCACGACGCTCGCCCAGATATAACTCCCCATCACGACGCCAACCACAACGCCCAGCGCAGGTTCGAACCTAATGACGAACACGACAAGCGCAACACATATATCCACGAGTGCAGGAACCACAGTGAACCCAATAAGCTCGCCAACACGGTTTATCGCGCTTCCTCTATCGAGAATACGGAGCAGCTCGCCAGTCTTGCGTTTTGTATGCCAGCTGAGAGAAAGGGCCAGGACATGGTTGAATGAGAGCATCGACATGCTACGATCGCTGTATTGCATGAGTGGGACCCAGAGTGCGTCACGGAAGGCTGCGAGACCGCCCGATGAAGCAAGGAAGCGGAGTAGGACGTAGGTAATTAGGTAGGGCCATGGGCTTGAACCGAATGCAGGGAATGGAGTTACGCCTGGTGTATCGAATGTGTTGATGAGTGCGCCGAGTACGAGAGGAAGAAAGGCGTTTACAACGCGTCCTAGAATAAGGATGAAGAAACAGATCAACTGGGAAACTATTAGTTTGGGTGATGAAAATGCAGGGGAGGCACGTACTGCGATGAATTGCAGCTTCGGATAGCGGGAGGGCCAGAGATGGGGAACGATGCGAGATACACGAGTGAAGAGTTCACGCCACGAGGGATCGACAGCTACCTCTCGTGGGGTTGTCTGCTGAAGCGTTAGTTTGCGCTACACTATTTAACAACGTTACTAACCTTGTTTGGCTCCCGTACGCCCGGAATTGGTGATGCGCATCGGGTAGTAGGACCGCTTCTGGATGTAAAAGTGCCATATTTGGCGGTACTAGGACCGTCAGGGTCGGCATCTTCTGGTTGCAACAGCAACGACCCATGAGGGACATGCTGTGATATGAGAGGAGCGGTCTCATCAGATTCTTCTGCATAGCCATGTGATTGAGCAGAAAGATAAATGACACGAGGAAAGAAGAGCGCCACTAGGAGAGGAAGAAGTGCAAGTACACGTGCGAGAGGCAAGACACCATGCAAAATATTAGGTACACATGACCGGACAGGTGATGTGCAAATGTGATGCAAGTCTGAATTTAATTGATTGATAAGGTTAATGAACTGGAATGATGATGGGAAGCGAGTAAGGACGGACCTATTCCAATCAAGGAGAGGACGACCTGGACGATGTCGAGTGCGAGAGCGGTAGCTACTGCGACCTTGACACGACTTCGGTTCCAAATCTCGTTATCGCTCGTGTCCTTCCATGCGCCTAGAGCTGCCAAACCGGCGTACGCTAGCAAACCCAGAACACTTGCAATTTCGATGCCAGTGCCTTTAAGCCAAACTTTGTTAAGGACAGCAGAAACGACATATGCGAGACCATCTGCTAAGAAAGTGAAAGCGCTGATACTGAGAAGAACGAGAATGAGTGTTCTCCGTGGGATGCGAGATGTGACGACGACGGGTGTTATTGGACTTTGAATTTGGTGATCAAGGCGCTTAGAGGATATGAGGGAAAGTGTAGCTAGGAGGACGACGGCAGGCGACGCGACGCGCGCACCGAGTAGAACGGCGTCGGTGATGAGGACGGGATGCATGGTCGTCGTCCAAGGATCAAAACCTAGCAGGGAAGTCCTACCGATTTTTTTTTGATGTAGTCAGGTTTTGATATAAGCCTTGTGGCTGTGCTTAGTACTAAAACTCTGTTGTGAAATCACAACGCGTTAGGCACGTTACACGTACTAGTGCACGGAGCCAAACGTCAAGGAGGCGGCGACTGGAACAGACGACGACCAAGCGACCTTAAAAGTTAGTAATAACAAAAAGTAAGTGACGCTCAACGAAAATATACGTGGTTGGACAAGCCCGGGCATCGAGCTCGGGCAAGAAATTCATAATCTCAGGCTTGGGATTATCTGTGGTTTGGACACGTGGCGGCAGACGACCCTGCCTCACCTCCTCCGCATGTCTTCCTTTTGTCACAGCCGATTACTCTGGGCCTGCTGCGCATGCGTAGTACGTCTAAGTCATTCTTTCCATTCCACTCTTTCACATTAAACACTCGGATCATGCCAACGTTGTTCGTGAAGAAACACTCATGTGATCTTCGGTCTGATAACAGCGAGGCGATTGAGCTCCCTTCTTAAATCGCCTTCTGTGGTTTTGCCATGTCTCAAAACGTATAATGTTTCTCCGTTCAAAGTTCTCTCATTGTCTTAATCAACCCCTTTCAAGCTTGGCAACTGCGCCCTAACATGCCAAGACCGGTTCAGTCCCTGAGGTCGTCGTGCACAACAACCGTCAGGATTCCCAACCACGTCACCCCACCTGATGTTGTAAGTCGCGACTCATCTGGCGCGCGCAGGCCCATGGACCCGAATTCAAACCCAACGGGTACAAGTATAATTATCACCTTCTGCGCACCCCATCGGTTACGCATAACATCCACTCTGTTCGCTCACAATTCGCCCGCACGCATCCTTAAGAGGTCTACAGGAAGCCCTCCTACGTCACTCTGCCGATGTTGGAAGTTTTTCCTGCCCTTATCATCATAGCATCTTACTCAATCTGGCGCAGGCCAAGCCGAGATCAACCCAACGGCCCCAGTACAATTACCAGCCTTGTCGGCCGCGCATCATATATATGCGTATGAAGGGAACGATCCAGCTTATCCCGCTTTACTCGCGCATCTCTCCGGCATCTAAACAAATCGCGTTTCGAAATACCTTCGTGTTGACATTTCATCACCACTCTTGAAGCGCAGTATCTACCACCAATCCGAACTTCCTGCTAATCCCCTCCGATTCACGTGACCTTCTGTAATTCCGATCCACGTTACCCTTCAGATGATTAACGTTACCCGGATATTCTCAATGCCGGTCCACGTCTTACCCCCCTTACTAGGGACAAGGCCTGTTCCTCTTGCTTACCTACTTACTCCGCATCCACATCTATCTATGCTGAATCGAAACTGTACCACCCAATGCATCATCCCAATCCCAAATCTTGCTTGCTCACTACTCCAAGTCCCAAACCGTACTTACAATCAACACCAGAAATCGCCATGTCAACCAACCCAATACCTCGGTCATGACAGTAACAACCACCTCGGGCTTATTCCCCATGCCCGGGTTCATTTCACTGTCGAATCTGATATGCATGACAGAATCACTAGATCACCCGAACATCCAGATTGGATGTCAATGGTTCTGTGACAGTCTTACTGACTGGACTATGCCGGTTGGCCCGTGTGTGGTACATGCCTGGAGTATCAATGTGGACGTCAGTGTGGGCGCTAATGCGGGAAACTCGGTGGGTGACCGATTAAAAGTGGTTTGATCTTTCTGACAAGTGTGAACTGGGAGAAGCTGCGATTAGTAGCCTTTGCCAAGGTACTTACCACGCTCTCTTCTTGTAAGCTGACACCCTCCGACACCTTCTTGAACTTTATTTTACACACTTGACTGCTTCGTGGTTTACCCCAATAGGCTTCACGTTACAGTCTCACGGGTATTCTGTAAGCACAAAAAAATATTTATTGTTCTTTGGGGTGGAACTTTGACTAGAGAGAAGTTCTAACACGATGGATGCCACACGCTGATAGCGGATGACATCATTCCGTGGTTCTGTGTCAACTGCTGATTGGCAATGAGCCGGTTCTCCCGTACGCATACAGTGCGCAGCAAGAGCGTCAGTTGCAGGAAAGTTGGTGAGTGAGTGCCCTATTCAAGTGACTCGATGTTCTGATACGTTTGAACTTGATATTAGAAGGTACGATAGATGTCGTTTGAATAATGCACTGTTTATTCAAGACGCAGTAAGTACAAACCGACTTCAATGGAAAGCTGTTTAGGCGCAATGATTTTGAACAGGACCTTCTAGTCCAGTCTTGTCTCTGCGCGGATACGATTCTCGGTTTGGAAACGGTCACACACGGGTACCATGACTAACTGGTTTGGGGTTCGGCTTATGCTAAAGGCTGACCGAACTTGTGAGATGAAGCTTCCTGTTCCCCAACCTGTAACCCATGGGTCATGAGTACCGAATGCAGCTGGCCAAGTATAGACTTGGTTGCAGTCGTGCACGGGCCATTCACCCCCACTAGGTTGTATGAAGGCTTAGTGATATCCTCCTAAACAGGACGAGAAGAACGGCGCTGTAGGGTCAGCCTGACGAGAAATTTGGCAGTTCGAAACCATTGCTACCCGCCCTTCTCGAGTCCCTATAGCCCTGGTCAACGGACCCTTATCCTAGGAGACGTGTGCCTGTGGCACATGCCAATATGATCCCCCTCGCAACACTCAACTGAACGTTCTTGTTTCGTAGCCAGTCGCCACTTCTTGTCAAAGTTCTTAGCGCTCTCCCACGCTACATATAACCCGACGCCCTCCAGCTCAACTCATACCTTGCATCGTCCTGATTTACCCCAACAGGCTTTTCTCATGAAGGCAAGCTTTATAGTGTCGTCGACTATCCCCAACCTAAATAACGCATTCGATATATCCGATTTTTGGCAGATTCCCTTGAGAGTCGAGTCGCCTTCAGCTGTTTTACCTCCACTATTACTCGTGTTCAAATGTGCTAGGATGACTCCTCATAATTCATGTCGACACTTTCAGGAAGGCCAAGACGCATGTTATGACAACCATCGGACTATCTATTCGTAACCAAATGTAATGGGAAGTACTTTGTTTTCGATAGAATGGTCAACCGTGTGCACAGGATGTTAAATGTTGTGGGAAGCCGATGTTATGATATTTCAGCACGTTCGGTCCTCCGATTTGAAAGACCTAGCTTGCAGCATTCATTCAACGGCCATCGCATTTGATCCTGACTTTGATGCCTCCTCAGGTGAGTAGTACATTGGAAACCATTCACGAGTTAATCGGAAAGTATGCGGCATCTGCGGTGAGACAAGAAGCAGAGGGATGGTGATTGTGCTCATACAACAATTCAGTTGTTGTGAATACCACCACAAAATCAACTGCGAAATTTCGTATCATGTATATGTTTAAGTACTTCAGGATTTCCGTGAGCTATTCTCAACCTTCAAGTTATGCTGATTTGTGGACTGGCTGTGAAAATGCTTGACCTATACAGAGAGATTGCGTTCGGCATTGTCATGGTGCTACTCGAACCCTGGCTGGTCGTCGCAAGTCATGTCTGCTGAAATGAATCTTAAAAATTCAGTATCAATTTCACAAGGGAGCTCGCGGATTGGATCGCAGTTGTCCTGCATCTTGCGACGAGGCAGCTACTATCGCTATGGTGCAGGTGAGTAAAGTGGAGACTTCATTGTCGATTAGTCATCGATTTGTCAGCGGATAGGTGTTGTGGCCCAAAGCGGATATAATCTGTAGGCCCCCCCGCCCGCCTACAGATTTAAAGTTTATAAGAGGGTAAAAAATATGATCTTTTGCAAATTGGACAGAAATAAACAGCGGCATCGCGGCACAACTCCTTTCTATGGTAATTTATATTTTATTGTGTTCTATTCCGCAATATTTCAGCCGACGGTCACTAGTTGTTCCAAATTTAATTGCGAACAAGTGATTAGGCATAGCTTTGAACGGACTTTACGGATTTCCCCGCAAATTACAAAGCCCAGAGAATGTCACAAATTAGGGCTGCGCATGTAATGGAAAAAGTAACCTTACTCACGAGTGCAAACCTTCAGAACGAGAGTGAAATATGCGACTGGTCTGTATTTCTGGGATGAGTCGTACAGTCATAGTTTTTCATTACGCACTGATACGTGAGGCCAGGGTTAACTTCCGCATGCTTATCTCGCAAAAAGGTCCGTCCGGTGTTTTACATGGACACTGAAATGAAAAACATATTCGAAACGATGCTGATTTGTATCCTGCGAGAAACCTTACAGCTTGACGACGTGGACCAGAAGTCAGATCAAGTCCTTGTATGTCGCACTTATCTATCATTGTAAAACAGATATGATAGAATTGGATACTCTGATAACACTTTTGTTGTTGTCAGGACAGCAGCGCGTGTAAATCAGTACCTACTGGCACCGCAGGCTTCGCCGTGTTGAACAAGGTGAGATTTCAGCAAAAGAAAGAGTAGATCAATTCCTTTTGATAGAAGGGATGCTGATCCGTCGTCTAGAGCAACATACTAATCATTGATCAAGAAGATAGTGTGAGGAGATGTTCAAAATCTGGACAACCAGATCATGATGGAACGGACGCAAGTAATGTCTGGGACACTGCATTCGGCCGTTGCCGATTTGGTGTAATGAATTCCCCCCTTGATCGTATAACGTTCGTTGGTATAGGTCGCGTGCACGTGCACGCAGGCTAGACCCAGGTCCTCTCTCGTGGGAGGTTTGTCACCACAGCGCATTTATTCCACCTTTTTGATGACTCGAATATCTACACTCGGCTATTGATTCGAGCGATATCACGAGATCGGTGATCAGCTACAATAATAGATCAAACTAATAATAGATTGCGAGCCCCCGTAGTTGGGAAACAAGGTAACTGTAGTAGACGGAGTCAATCCGGTACCTATGCGAGGCACAGAGGTGCGGTAGTTGCCGTAGACGGGCAGAGGGAGGCCGCTTGCAATATCGGCGACCATGTGATTAGACCGATTCAATATGATGGGCGGCGTAGCTCCTATTCATTCCAAGACACGATACGTGGTGGGCGGGAGAATCACTTCAGGTTGAAGCTTGAAATCAAACTCAACCCTCGAAGTTCCGTCGGCCTTGTACCCCATCGTTAGCCGATAGATCGGATATTGCTATATACTTGCACGTTGATAACGGAGCCAAGTGCTCTTGGACGGCGCCTTCTCGGCAACTGCCGAACGTTAGGAGAAGGAGGAGGGGGTCAGATAAGAAACACAGTTCCGCGTGAGAAATGCCAAGCATAAAATGACTCTTTGTGGATGTAGTACGATCAATACAGTCGTTAGAGTTCCGACCGGAGTTTGAAATAAAGGGGCTTGAATATAAGGGTGATCGTCGATAAATCATTTTCGCTCAAACTCTCTTTCAAACCTCCACGCCCCGTGTCCTGGTCTCCCGTTTCGTTCAGGTCTCGTGTATCTGTTTTCAAGACTATTGTATTATCCCTCACTATGTCTTCACAATCAAGTGCAAAAATCTACGTCGGGTCAGTCTATGTCGTCTGACTTGGATTCGCAACCGCTTCTCCCGTCCTATGACGGAGAGGAGCGAAACTGATTCGTCAAATTCTTTTATTTCTGCATGTAGAAATTTGAGTTGGAACACCACTGATGACACGTTGCGCAATGTCAGTTATATACGATTGTGACCGGCGAGCTGTTGATTCGGGCTGCTTCGCTATGTCATCTTCGTCTGAAATTGTTCTCCAAATGCATGTTCTTACGCGTTTTCGGTCTTGGGACCTTGCACAATATAGGCTTTCAGCAGTTATGGACCTGTGCTTGACGTGCGCGAGTTATCTTACCCAGTTCATCCTTTTGATTGAGTTGATCCGTTCAGTCTATTGTCATGCGTGACCGTGACACTGGTCGTTCCCGGGGTTTTGGCTTTGTCACCTACGGGACCACTGAGGAAGCAAACCATGCTATTGCCAACATGAATGAGCAGGAGCTTGATGGCAGGAGAATAAAAGTAAACCTTGCTAATCCCCGTAGCTCCGGAACAGCAGGCGGTGGCGGCGGTGCAGGATTTGGAGGAGGTTATCCTGCTGGTGGCGGCTACTCTGGTTCGTGCCAAGTTTACAAATATAGCAAAGATCCTGAACATGTTTTCAGGTGGCGGCGGTTACGGTCAGCAACCTGCCTATGGAGCTCAGGGCGGTTTTGCTGGCGGTCAAGGTGGCTACGCTCAAGGTGGCTATGGAGGCTACCAAGGTGAGCATCACTTCACATGTACATCTTTCCATTCTTGATGAATCTTCCAAGGTGGAGGATACGGGGGTGGTTTCGCTCCTACCGGTTACAGTGGTCAGCAAGGTTATGGCCAGCAAGGTGGAAATGGCAATCCAGGAGGTTACGGTCGTGGTTACTGATCGACCATTGGCACGTGCATGCCTTATCTTCAGCATCAAAATAAGCAGAGGCATGCGCTACCAGCTCTTCACACTTCTTCCTTCGGACATCGATATTATATCATGCTCGTTCGCCTCTTCCACATTTACACCCTACTTGCACATGTCCAATGTTCCTTCTCAACTCTCTCTCCCTCTCATTTTCAGTCTGAACTCTATTACGATTCAGCTTGTACTTGTATATTCAGATATATCCATGCTCTCGTCATCGCGATCATGAAGCAAACCGCACATCATAGTACCTTGTCCAGATATGGAAGGAACGACAGAGTATTGGGTCATCCCAGATATAGTGCCTGGTGGAGTGTGATTAATAGTGCTACTGATGTTATAAAACGCTGGGTTTTCCCCAAGCTTCGGGATGTACCCTGACCTAAATGAGACTGCACGTCTATCATGATTACCTTAAATTGCAGGGCGAGACTCAATCATAAATTTAAGTTTAATTCCGCGATACACTGCTCGCGGGAATAGGGCAACGCGCACCCAGAGTCGTGCGTATGAGTCATCCGCAGTCACTGACAGGTTTCCGCATGTTCGTAGTGCAGCATCGTCCATCTCCTTATCCCTCTGACTTGGGCTACCTATGCTCTACCGCCACGTCAACAAATACCGAGGTAGGCAAGTAGTAAGTCTTTGTCTCATCCTGAGCCTTGTCAATATTATGTATTAATGCGTACAACCTGTCGCTCTGGAGAACGTTGCCTCTACTACTCAATAGAACGAGAGGCACAAAATATCCGGCACGTCTTCCTTCGTTGCATCCAACGACTGCACCTTTACTTCCCCCTTATGATAAGGAACCATCATCCCCTTTCTCAGAATCTGCGTCCTTCTCATCAGAGCCAACTGTTCCTTCGACATGGTCTCGGGTCGTGTGGGTCTGGTAGAAGACAAGAACGGCCATTGCAGCAACAGAGATGCAGGCGAGCATAAACCAAAAGCCAGCAGACTGGCCTTCATAATTCGAAGGGCCCCCATTTCCCTTCTGCACGCTCGTCTGGATAGAGCCGACGGCAGCCAAACCAACTGCGGAGCCAAGTTGCAAGCCGCAATTGAATATGGCGCCTACGGTGCCTGCCATGGAGGGTGGCGTAGCTCGGAATATCGCGATGCTGCGTAAGGCGATATGGTATGAGTCGTTCTTGGAGTAAGATTGACACGTACTTTGCGGATATGTTGGTTAACATTGCACCAGCGGAACCGATGATGAAGCCGGGGAACACCAACGACCAGTACTTGTCAGGTCCGTTTGCGAAGGCAAATAACACGAGTGCCGTCATCATCATTAGTGCTCCACAAAGTATCAGCCATTTGGCATTCATGGCGCCGATCCCCTTCACCCTACTGGAAAAACTGAAGACAAATGCAGTGATGCCTATTGGAAGCCTGAAAGAATGTTAGTATCGTCAATTACTACATTTAGGCACACGGTCTTTACTCACATGTGGACAGCGGAAGATAAGGCGCTCCATCCGTAAATATCTTGCCACAGGGACACATAGGTGGTGAATATGTTTGCCCACCAGAAATATGGCAGGAGAGCTGTTCCAAACAAGACAGAAAAATTCGAAATGAACCATGTTGAAGGCGGTCTGTGAACCAGTCTAAATCAAAGAAACCTTGAACAATCGAGCAAACATACACAGCAGCACATTCGATTGGCTGGAGGGCTTCCCAGCAAAAGAATGAACCAGTCATAGCGATGGAGAAGGCCAAAGGTACTAGTGCAGTGGCTGATCTCCAACCTATCATGGACGCTGTTGTCACAGCGAATATAAACAGTATAACAGCAACTGATAACGTGCTCAGTGTGCGAACAGACGATTTGAGATTCTAACTGACCTGTAAGAATTGATATTCCAGTGATATCAAGTCTCTTCAATTTAGTGAAACCACTCTCTCGGGCCATATTTTTGGTTTGTGAAGGTATAAGTACCGTAGAGATGAGCGTGGTTGGTAATATCACCGCCGACACAAACCAAAATATCCAGTGCCAACTAACATATTCGACTAAAAGAGCGCCAGAGATTAGGCCCAGCACTGAAACATTCATCGTGAATACCTAGTCCGCTTCACGGAATGGAGATCGCTCACCAATGCCAACCGCCCCACAAGCTCCAAATGCGGCGATAGCTGCACCTTGGTGCCTGGGCTCAGGGAAAAGTCCGACAAGCAGCGCTAGAGCTGATGGTATGGTGAGCGATGCGGCTACATTGACCAAGTGAGCCTTCAAGTTTGTGACTGCAGGGAAGGGACGCAACCAATTCCACTTAGTGCTCTTAGTGCGAGGAATAAGATACCATTTGAGGCGAAACCGATCCCGATCGAGATTACCCCTAAGATGAATTTGCCGGTTATGAAGGTATATTCTTCATTAAAAGTTAATGCAATGTTCGTGAAGACAACCTCAGTCAGACTTACTAGGACTGTAGATATCGCTGATTTTTCCGCTCTGCAAATATGGGGTAAAAATCCTCTCGTCAGCTACGAAGGCAAGACTCACCATAAGGAGAAAGGATGCAAAAGTTAACTGGTATGCACTAATGATCCAAACCGACTGGCTTTGGGTGAAGCCGAAATTCCGGACGAGGGAAGGGATAGCAGAGAATAATGCAGAGTTGGTGAGTGTATATAGAAACTGCGTAATGCAGAAGATCAACAACAGAGTATATCTGCGCGCGTTTGAAGGAAGGGGGCGCTGAACGACGACTTTGGCATCGTCATCAGAGGTTATGCTAGCAAGTGACGAGTTCATCGAGAGTTTCTGAACGTTCAGAGTCTCACTGAAGATGTTCTGGAAAGAAGTGCGATAGCTAAGTGACCATAGACAATGCAAGGGACACCTCTTTATAGTGGCATTGGGCGCAGCACAGTACTGTAACAGTAATGACTATCATGATTGGATATCTCGCAAACCTCTCCATTGCTATGTCGGACCACACTACTGGTAAGCCTCAATGGGTCATGACGATGTCGTTGGAGCAGACCTTCGCTGACCTTGTTTAAGGTTCATACCTTATCTCATTATCCGGTAGTAGAGAGTCCAGCCACAATGCCTGATATTTGTTTGAGTCAGTATCGTAGTATGCAGCACTGACAGGTATTTGGTTGACAAGTAATACTAGCTTAAGACGGCCAAAACACCGTATATTGATGTGGCCATATTGTCGAAGTGGTGGTTCAAGTTCAATGAATTTGATGATTGACAGGGTCTTCCATAATTGTCAGACTGCAGCCGGACCTTCGTTGACCTTGTTTAAGCAAAGTTCATGGAAGTTATCACATCCCGGATATCCAGTACTAACCGTAGTAGAGACAGCGGCACTGCCTGAGATTTGAATCAGTATCATGATTGAACGACGTGGCAAGTTGCAGTTTGATTGAATAGCCTATGGCTATATTCTCGGGGTGATTTGAACAAGTTGAACAGCCTACCATAATTGTTTGGTTCCCGGCCACAGGCCACAGTCACGGGATACATATTCAGGCCAGGTCCTCTTCACCTCTTTCCAACTGCGACATGCCTGCAACTCGCTCACCTAGCCAACACCGCTCTCGTCTGCATGCATCTCCTACACGAAATCTACCAAACCGGTCGAAACCAAAATCAAACCCGGCTACTATTCCTGAACACGAAATCATTGTTCTTTCTTCGGATAATGAGAACGCCCGACCGAGCAAAATTGGTTCATCATCAAGATTAAAGAGGAAGAAGCCGTTTCCTTCACGCGAGGTTTTGGAGATATCGTCATCCTCCGACGAGGGACCGATGCTTCCAAAGACGCCGGGAAATGATGGCCCATCTTGGCAGCGGGAGCATTCAAAAGTGAAGAAGGTACGTTTCTCAGATGACCACAATTTCAAAAAAATTCCGTGTTGATAGGAGGCCGCCAGGTGAACGTGCACCTAGAGAGGCAGGTTGCTGATCAGCGCATGCAACTTGACAACATGAGAAAGCGTCTCGAGGAACAAAATCAAGAGCTTGCTGCACAGTCTCGAGAAATTGATGCCCGTCATCAGGAGATCCAATTGCAGCAGGAGAAACTTGCTGCACTACAAGCGAAAGGCACATCAGAATCGTCTATCGTACGTGCTCTCTTGCCGGTTTTCACATGCTTTCTAAGTTGTCTATTCAGGATGCTACCAAGTTGGGCGACATGTTATCTTGCGATATATGCGCACATTTGATGTACTCCCCTTACCTGTACGTACTCATTTTCACTCGTTTGCTGTGCACCAACCTTTCTGTCCTAGTCTCTTTGACTGTGGACACTCTTATTGCGAGGGATGCCTCAAAGGCTGGTTCGATGAAATACTCACTAAACACATTCGCGCACATCCCGCATACAACGTGAACCGCAGAGCCATGCCTCGGAATCTTCCTCAAGTTCTTCGCACCATTGGTCCATACGTCTCGTATCCCGTTCAGATGCAACTACAGGCAATGTATGATGCTTCGCAACAACAGCCGGAGTACACCTGTCCAGGATGTCGGAAGGAAGTCACGGGAAAACCAGTCGTAAATTTTGCAGTCAAGGATATGGTTTCCATCGTCGGGAACGTTCTTGGACAACCCGACACTCGCCGGGAGTCTTCTGATATTGCTCGTAGGCAGCACGCGGGTCCATTTGACGGCTTTTTCCCTCGATAATAAAGCCTTAGTGTACTGTATAGAAATACTTCATACTTCATCCTCCTACGTTATTTGTATACTATCATACATATGTATACCATAAACTCAACCATGATACAGTACCTGCACTGTAGGCATTATTATACCAGATGCAATGTAAACAAGAACAACAACATTTGATCAAGAGGGGTCAAGAGGGTATACATCTACTTCGTCTTTGGTTTTAGTCTCACTTTGGGCTTTTTCGGGTTTGCCGGTACAGGCCCTTCGATTATTTCGACCTCGTCATCATCATCTACAGAAGCCGAAGCCTTCCGTTTGCCCCCTGCCACTGGGCCAGAACCAATACTGCTCTCCCCGGTACCATCCCGTGTAGAAACGGCGGACCGATTGCCCGAGAGCGACCCCGGACTACGACGTAACGAGCTGGTCGATCCCCGAGAACGCACTGACGAAGCAGGCGACACCTTTCTTGATCCAGGCTTCTGCAATCCAAAAATAGGTAGAGTTCCCAGTTCATCTTCACCCTCTCCTACCCCACGCTCCCCAGCACGTACGTCAGAGTGCGCCGGAAGCCGCGTTTCGCGCCAGTCTCGACGGAACACGCTCTCGGCTGTTAGGTTATCCTCGAAAACACCTTCTAGTCTCGCTGGTACGCGACGCTCTTCATCCTGCACATAGCCGATCAAATGGTCGCCTGTGGCCTTTGCCCCGAACAGTTCGAGCGACAGAGAGGCATTGTTTCGGATCGTACCATCATCTTTGTCAAGGTTCTCAATCCATTCCCATGGGCAGTTCTGAACGGGTGCGCCATAGACGAGGAGACCTGTGTTATCTCGATGAGCATGGGCAAGGTCTTGCACGACTGGATTCGGCCGGAGATGTGGGAAGAGTGTCAGAAGTCGTACACGATGTTGACTAGGGAGGGAATGCAGATGAGGTGACTGAAGTTTCGTGGGGTAATACTTGAACGGGTCTGGCGATGAAGCTTTGGAGTGCAGGAAAAGATCTACGACAATTCCGTTTAAACGAAGCAGAACACAGTGATCGAGTTTAGCATACCGTCTATGAGAAAGTACAAGGTATCAAGAAGAAGCGCGAATGCAATGGCGTCATGTGCAGGCCCGCATGCATGAACCTGCGATACGTTATCTCAGAGCTCGCATACATAGTAAGTCACTACATACCACAACAAGGTCAAAGAGGACTGGCATCATCTTCTCACACGTTTCCCGAAAGTGCGTCGTCCGTATACCAGGGAAACCAAGATCAAATTGAAGGAGCCGAGCCAAAAATATAACAGCTTCAGTGATAACGCGCAAAGAGCTATCAGTCGTTTTGGCAAACGTCGCATTTGCGAACTGAAATGACTCCAGAATGATTTTTGCAAGCCGCTCTTGCGTTGAGACATCCAGATCTAGTCCCGTTCCTTCTTCTCGCAGTGGCTCTGAGACATGTGACAGTACGCGAAGCACCTCGCCTGCACGGCCAACCCGCGCCAGTAATGATTCGGGAGTCGAAGGAGCAGGGACTCGATTAAGAATATCAACGATACTCTTGAAGCCGTTATTTATGAACTACTTGTCGCTTTAAGTGTACGTCAAATCCAGAGTATGGAACCATTTACTTTGATCGCCACTGGTCCATCGACACCCCTTGCCATCTCTGCGATGAAGTACGCTTCTTCCGAGGCCATCGAGTGGTGGAAGATCAGAGATGTCATTTTGTCGAGCGATGCACTTGCACCCTGTTTCGTCGATTCACAAGCAAGCGCCCTTCCGAGTTGCCTCAGTCCAAACTGCAACTGGACTGCAGTCGCTGCCAGTGTGCACGGGCTCAGAACGGATGATATCCCAGTGCTTAAAAACGAGTTGACATCTGTATCTACGGTCGAATGTGAATCTCGGAGTCATTCTATACCGCAACTTCACGTACCTTCGTTTGATTCACTCAAAATCATCTTCAGTGCATTGACGAGGGGTTCATAAAGCGTTTCCACGACCATTCCCGACTGAATCGGGTGCTCGAAGCCCCTGCGGACAGCGTCAAGATTCCGATAGCATGATTGTCTGATGTCACGACTCTCGCACGTCCGCAGGCGAAGGTCTCGCGCAATTCCGCGAAGTTCATCTGAGACGACATTATTGTGTTCCAGGAGCACTAAATTCGGTATATTACTGGCGAGAAGGGTGAAATGAGGTTCTCGGAAGGCATCCTGTCTCCAAGTGTGAATCCGTTGCGCATCGAGGAGCTCTTGCGGGACGATCGGGCTGATTGAACACTCCTCTTGGAGCACCAGCGCGCTAAAAAGCTCACTAGCTGCCTGTATAAACGTTTCCATGTTCTGTGGCTGGTACAGAGGGCCTGCATCGGCTCCCAGTTGCCAGGCAGGGTAAACTAGTCCTTGAAGCAGTGTGGTTGTCGACAGTGCTCCGTGGACGCATAGGAAGAGAAGGACGACTCTAAGTACATCCCATGTTTCGAGGTTCAACCCTAGCACTTCACTTTTTCCAGTGCCAAGAAACCATTGGAGCACGTCATTATCGATGCCGCTAGGAAGGTGATGATCGACATGGAGTAAAAACTGACCATAGCGAAGTGCATATGTATGACGGAGCTTGTGATCCTCACTCATGACGGGAACTTGGCGTAACGAAGCAACGATATTGTCCCAAACTTTCCATGCCCAGTCTCCGGACGTGCGATATCTGTACCAGAGGCTGTTTGCGAGAATTGATGGAGCGTCCAGTTTGGAATCGTCAGCCAGAAGTAAAATTTCGGGCATAACTGACGGAGCGGCTTCCGGATGGTCTGTCTTAGGAGCCAGCGCGTGTGTAAACGCCGCAATGTCGTTGTCCACTTGAGTTTTGGCCGCCGCATTCAGCTGCCGTCCATTGTCCATCTCAATAATCAGGGTCAGAAGAGATCTGGTTTTCCCCCCTTGCGTTCGCCAGAGCAAATAAGTAGAATAGAGTGCGGAAGTAATTGTGCCAGTGACGTCCATTGCCGTCCATATAGTTGCGAAGCGGTGGAAAACTTCCCCAACGGCGGTCAATAAATCTGCGTGGGTTGTTTGAGACAAGACCGAGAGACTCAGCTGCGTAAGAGCTGTCAATCATTCAAACTTTGGAAGAAGGAGAACACACCTCCAGTAAAGAGCCATAACTATGGGTGTACCTGAGGAGTTCAACCGCTGTACTGTATGTCTTCAGAGTGTTGATCTCATCTAATGATTGAGATCTGTGCGCTCGGTCAACACGGCAAATAAAGGAAATTGATTCTGCACACCTCGAGGTAAATTTGAGTAAATTCGGAAGCAACCACTGTTTAATCGTTCGCATTTGCTCAATACATGGTGCACCGAGCACAGTCGGACAGCTGGCTCGAAGAGATGACATAGAGACTGAAGGTGGCAGGGTGTCCCCTATGATTCAATAGTAATAGATACCAAGTGAAAATGTTGGTCCTACATACCACCAAATACAAGTGGCAAAATTGCGCGGATTTCCCTTCGCATTTTACGTTCACAGATATCTTCAGGGGTCTGTCGTGCACGTGCTCCATAGAGAATCAATTTGCGCTGGTTTGAAAGAGATGATGTCGTGTTGTGTAACGGTATCCAGCGAAGGAGATTACGATGAAAGGAGGCCGTTTCGTCAGGCTGAAAATATTGTCAGTCAGAGAACAGCGTTCATTTAGCATACAACATACCTCGCTCAAAGAGAGTCCCTCTTCGCCTCTCGCAACGAGTCTCTGCACATAAGCTGCGTAATCAAAAAGCCCGTTCTTCATCAATTTCCCGAACAGGCCCGCTACTGCCCTGAGATTGGCAACCTCCCGGACAACAGGTTTCGAGTCGAGCCAATCGAAGAGATGATCATGAAGGGTGGCTGACGATAGTTCGCGGCGCGCGTTGCGTTCATGATATGCTCGGAGAAAGGTTACAGCGGCATATGGACGATGAGAGCCATACTGCAATGGCGTCACAGCCCACGTTAACAAAGTATCGAGTTTGTCGACAAAGCTTGAGCTTGATGTGCAATCAGGAATCTGAGAAGAGAAGAACGATATAGTGGACATGTCCGTGCTACTGCAGATCGAATTTAGAATTTGAATATCAACGACCAGGGACCCAAGACGCTCGAGTTTTCGCGGTGGGAGATTGCGAAATAGCATGGCGTCATTGCGACGCTGAATATCTATCAGATTATCTGAAATCAACTGCTGAAAATCATGACGTCGACTGTCACCAGGACGATTATCAGCAGGGCCCGCAAGTGCAGAATACAAGAGCGATGAATGTGCTAGCCATGTTCTAGGAGAAACAAATGTGTCTGGAAGGGCTACACAAATACGCTGATTTCGAATTTTTAAGCGTGTGATCGTAAAGCGGAAGTTGATGCATACCTGAATCACAGACTTCAGAATCTCTTCAAGCTTGTCCAGGTGGCCCTGAGCGGAAGTCGTCCTGACCTGTAATGGTTAGTGATAAATGAATGCATGTGTGCATAAAACGTACTTCGTTCAATTTCGCAATGCATGCGTCTAAAAGGGGTTTTGCGAGTGGGCGCTTTTCAAGAACTCCATCGAGATACTCATCAGCCAAATGTGCTACAAATCCTGCTTGAGCAAGGTTACAGGACGCCATCTGAAGGACAACCCATGTAAGGAATGTACGATGGTCTACGAGACCTTCATCATAGAATGGTCGCAACAGTTTCAGGCTGATGTTGTTAGCGAATATCTGGATAGTTGAATTAAACACTGTACCAGTACGTGAAACGGGAAACCCATTTGTCCCGGCTTTCTGCGTCAGAAAGAACGCCCTTAAACGTTTGTTTGATATTCATTCCAGGTCTAGGGGCGCTCGGTAGAGCAATATCAGCGAGCTGTTTCTTGATATAGCTTGTCACCACTGTCGCCCAGTCTACACTGTATTGGGTGGGATTGTAAGCCGGTTTTTTTGAATTTCTCAAACCAGCCTTTTATCGTATAAATCACACAGTTGAGAAACACCACATCAGCACTCACAGTCTCGTTGGCGCCGAACACTCGAAGAAACCAAACTGCACGAGGTATGGCAACGTTGTTGGCATGAAGAAGGTCGAGTAGATCGTGTCCTCTGGCGCCATGTGGCACACTTTTCCCAAGTTTACTTAAGGGCACATCGGGGTTTGCGAGCTCAGCGAACCAGGCCTGTCGCTTGGTAGTATCACTCATGGTCACCCGTGAAGGAATCTTGAATGCTGATGACCTACAAAACCATTGGAAGAAGTCCAGCACTAAAATATTCAGCTTACTGTATAGCAACAGCACTGTCTGCCTTTCGAGAAAAGATGTCATTCATGAGGTGCTCGAGGTCCGCAAGCACGCTCTGGTCAAACATACGACCACCCTTTACATCCTGCTGTAATAATATAACCGAAGCGCTTTGGTGTTCATCCTAATCATCATCAGTTATTGAATTTTACATTAATCAACCTGAAGCTTACAGGCACGGGAAGCGGTAACAAGAAGCCGTCTTTTATATGTTTGTCAGACAATACATCCTCATCCTGTCCTGGGCGGGGTGGATGAAACCCAGGGTATCCTATGCATGTATAAAAATGATTTGGTAGGATTATTTACGCAGTAGTTGAGAGTACTTACCGACATCAGCAGTCCTGTGAGACTTAGGTAGCCAGGGCGGAGGTAGAGACTCGTATATGGGCGATGGTGGCTCTTGTCCGCGCTTTTCTGGCTTCATATCCAGGGTATCTCCGATTGGTACAATATACAATTAATGGCACTCAGGTATGAACATGCTGGATGAGTGAAGGAGGGAGGTCAGCGTATCACGGCTGCAAATATTGATGAGTCCTGATGCGGCATTAAGGCTACCAGCTTTCAGCACGTGATCACAATATTACCCAAATCAATCAATAACTTTCTAAACAATCCTTCCAAAATCCTCAGGCCCCCATTCAAATATTCGCTGCTGAATTCTATAGGCTATAGGACTCAAGAGACGTCAAGAAATATTCTCCATAATGACCACATTCGAACTCGTGCCAGCGAGGACTAATACCTTCGAGTTACCAGTTAAGTTAGCACAGCACTTAATTTCGGAAAGAACTGTTGTACCGTCACCTGTTCCACCGAGCAAGTCATGAGTATATACTACGAGTGTGAGACTCTAAATTTTTTATAAGGATTCATGAAGGACTGAAACTTTTAAACCGTTAGATGGCCCTCAGCCTGGGACAGAATATCGGACCAGGAACCCTGCGTCGTTCGATTGCACAAGTAGTATCATTGGAATTTGCTCTCCTATCACATGATTTGGTAGGCCCTTCTGTGCTGGTTTTAGCGTTGTTGGCTCACGTTATTGTAAGAACTTGCTTTGCAAAGCCTCTTGGTTCGAGTATATATTCATGGCCTTCATTCAAGAACCCCAAAGTAGGCCGTATCATAGCACCTGTTCACATGCGCCACTGTCACTTCCCTAATCGTCCACATCGTGTATTTCCCATTTTAGGAACTGCTAGGAGGACGCGAACGGGGTAAAATAAACAAAGGACAATCATGCATCATGCCACAAAGACGCTCCACTAGCAGAGTTTACGAAATGCACCGCAGCTATGTTGTCATGTTCATATTTGTTCTTTTGACGCGCTTACATGGCCTGTGGCAAGCGCCTTTAAAATTTGTGGTCACAAGGATCCAAGCACTATATATTTCGTGCTGAAAACCTTTCCCTTCCTTCCATCTCTTTCCATTTTTCCATTACTCTTACCTGATTTTTACTGTCAATCGTCATGTCTAACGACATACGTTCACTTGACAATAAAACTGTCTTCAAACGCCTAGCCAGGCGTTTGAGTACGCTAGACAACTTTCTGTACGCTATGGACGAAATCTTAAAATTCGACCGTTTAGAAGACTACGAACTGCGGCCCTATGGGGAAAAGGTCTTATATCTGTCATTAGTTATCTCTGACAGTCGACTGATTATGATATTTCCATGCAGATCATCGCTCTGACGGAGGTAGATCTGATTTCCATTCTGGCTAACGCTTTCACTAATGCTCTTGGTAATTCAGGTCGCGCACGCGACACTCAGAGGAATAATGGGCGTGTCTCCGTTCACGATTCGTTCAGAGGAACATATCCCTTACGAGTCGGCGTACCGCAAAATGCTCGTTTGGATCAGACGGCGCAGGTCCGCATTCCCTACTGACATCGACGGTAAACACTGGTCGTTGTTGTGTTTGAATTCATTCTCACCATTTGCATAGATCGAATCAGTTCGCTCCTGTAAACCACAATATGGTTCTACGGACTAGGGGGAATTGACCCTCGTGTTCAATTGGGCACGACGACGAGACGCTTGCTTTTCCTCGAAGGCCGTTTGTACGCGAACTCCGAACGAAAGTCCGACGCTTTGAGGCTGGCACTACGAAGCAATCGTCATCAAGTTCGATGTTATTTATTTTCGAGTGTTCTTAGCTGGAACTAATGGCTACCGCACTGTACATCAAATTACGGCCTCCATCTGCGTCTTGTTGTCATGAGTGTGGAGTCTAGTGCTCCGTGTTGTATGTTATATGGGGTTGTCCTTTAGATTTTCTTATTTGTAATCGTAATTGTGAAATCAGATGAACATCACACTGAATTGGCAGGCCATTGAGAGACTCGACCATCGTGGATAGAGAGAAACGGAGGGACAGTCAAAGGCTTTTTCGAAGGATGCCCTAAATCACCAGGCCTATTAGGTCGGTCACAATGACTTAGTGCCTTTCAACCAATGAGTAAAAGAGTTCTCTAGAAAAGTCACACTCTATTATCCTCAGAACGGACTGTGCAGCTCTCGCCCTCACATAAAGGCCACCGGACGACTTGGCCCGTCACTTGCATTTTGTCCAACGGCATCCAAGCATCCGAGCGTCGAGTCTCTCAATGGCCTGCCAATTCAGTAAGATGTTCATCAATATTTAGTGGCATGGGTGATTATTTCACGATTACAATTACAAATAAGAAAATCTAAAGGACAAACCCATATAACATACAATACGGAGCACTAGATTCCACATTCACGACAACAAGACACAGATGAAGGCTGTGATTTGATGTACAGTGTGGTAGCCATCAGTTCCAGGTAAGGACGCTCGAAAATAACATTAAACTTGATGACGATTGCTTCGTAGTGCCAGCCTCAAAGCGTCGGGCTTTCGTTCGGAATTCGCGTACAAACGGCCTTCGAGGAAAAGCAAGCGTCTCCAAGTCATCGTTTCTTGACAACTATTAATTCCTCGATGCCCAATTGAACACGAGGGTCGATTCCCCTAGTCCATAGGAACCATATTGTGGTTTAAGTTTTAAAGGAGCGAGCTGATTTGATCTATGCAAATGATGAATGATTCAAACACCATAACAACCAATATCATTACCGTCGATGTCAGTAGGGAATGCGGACCTGCGCCGCCTGATCCAAACGAGCATTTTGCAGTACGCCGACTTGTAAGGTACGTGTTTCTCTGAATAAATCGTGAACAGTGACACGCCCATTATGACTGGCATCAGTACTTGAACTGATGAACATAAATGCTAGGCGACACTTTTCGGTGCCTACGGCATAAAGGGTCTTACGGGCCCGGTTACTATGCTGTGGGAAACCTACCTATCTGCAAGACTCCGTATCATGTGCCTTTTACGTAAGGCATGTTGTTAGCTTGCGCCATTAAAATGCTACAAGTTGTCGAGCTCTGAGTTGCCGGTAAGCTCTAAATTCATGCCTGTTGTAACAGTAATGAAGAACTGCCTTGTGTCATGCATATATGGAATTGAGACTGAGTTAGGTTAGCGTGGTACAATGGCATAACAGCGTCCGATACTACACATGTCCGAAGCTTAGAGAAAGGCTCCCAACATTCCTCCTCGACCGTGCCTATCAACCTCATGTAAGAATCACAGCTCATTTTAGACCCCTTCCAGTTTTTAAAAATTATAAAGCCTTCGTATATTGCGTTGTAAAGCGTGGAGAATGAGGAGGGGGAGCTTCGTGTGAACGAGCTCACAAGTGCTAAGTAGGTAGATGTTGTGCGGAGTATACATTTCCAACGCTGAGAGAAATGACTTTTTGCGCCAGTAGCGCGGGAGAAAACAAGAACGAATCAAAGCAGGGTTAGATGCTATGGACTCGGTTTTTGTGTGGTTTGCCAGACCGACGCAAGAAAGCGTCGGGTTTGTGCTCGAAGCGAGAATCCCGAGAAGAGAATGATTGAAGACTAAAATTTCAGAATCGGGATCCGAGAACAAAGGACAGACCTTCTGAGCGCGTTTTGATCTAGGACGTGAGCAGCCCTCGGGCCTGAAGGAGACACAAGTCCAAACCAAAAACAACGAAAAAATCGAACGCGCGTCGCACTGGAAGATGGGATTGAGAAGAGAAAACGAGACAAACGAGAATCTTCGAAGTCTCGTCTTAAGAGGAGTACACGGACCACAGTGCTTCGCTATAGGGGAAGCACTGTGGGGGAGAATCTCCACATGGTAACGCTACGAAGGCCCGGCTTCACCCGTCAACGCTCGCAGGCTCGCGATCCGTTGTGCTTGAAGCGACCAAGGGTGTAAACGCAAGTCGCAGTGTTGCCTTGACCATGTAGGGTTGTTTGTAGCTCTTTGTACATACACCATTGCCGGGTTACTCTGGCGGCCTGCCTCATTCAATCATTCCCCTAGAGGTGCTAGTCGCCAATTTCTAACTCAAACACATTTTGGTTTGCACAACTTTGGAATCAGAATATGTAGAACTCCCGAAGTGCGATTGTCTAGACCTAGTGGCAACCAACACGCCGCAAGGCACTTTAGACCCGGGAACAGACATCAATACTAATATGGCATCTGATGCTCGAAGTCAACACATATCATAGCCATGGCAATGCGTCCGGCCTCTACGGCTGCATGGAGTCACTGGTAAGCGTTTTGACAAATCATCTGACAGTGCTGTTCCTTTGTATTAGCTTCGGCACTGAGTGGGAGGGCACATGCTGAAGTATGATGAACTGCCATCGGCAGTCCCTTATCTTATAAGATGTGACTGTCCATTATTCTGATCCAAAATTTCTGAACTCTACACATGAATTCTACTCGTCCTCCCGTGCTAGTCGTAAGTGAAATGCATATGATCGATGGCCGCGCCTCAACTGAATTCCTCTTCCTTAGGTAGGCGCTGGGCCAGCAGGTCTAGTGGCAGCGTTAACGCTCCTCCAGAACGGCATCTCAGTTCGCATCATCGACAAAGACCCCAACCCTCGAATCGGACAGCGTGGTCCCGGAATTTGGGTTTGTCACGACGTCACTTCTCTGATGCTCTTTTTTCTCATTCAATGTACCATATAGCCACGCTCCTTCGAACTATTTAACTTCCTGAATGTGCCAGAAGTCAATGAGCTAGCGAAACCCATCCCTACAATCCGTTCACACAAGCCTGGAACGTTAGAATCTCCGACAGATTCTTTGCTGGTCCCGCATATGGAACGTACCCCTGCGATACCATTTGTACGTGCTGTAAATAATCGTCATCTTGCAAGCACCCATGCTGATGGTTTTTTTGCGCTGTAGCACATTCCAAAGCTGATAGGTCAGCAACTCTTAGATGTGATTCTGCGACGCCACCTAGAGAAATTCTCGTGCACTGTCGAGATGGGCACTGAATTGCGTTCTTTCGAGCAGTCCGACGAAGGTGTGACGGCTGTATTATCAAAGGACGGCATATCGGAGACTTTCGATGCTAAGTGGGTGATCGGCGCTGATGGTGCTAAAGGTGAGTTGCGTTCGAATTCAAATGCAGTGGGATGAGTCTGAGTTGTGGTTTACAGGCATCGTGCGCAAACAGCTCGGGCTCACGTTTTTGGGTGAGACTAGAGGTGATGTCCGACTGGTCTTGGGAGATATTTGTTTAAATGGCGTTGGTCTTGATAGAGCGGTGCGTCTGATTTCTACTTGCCTCGTGAAGGAATTTTCTGATATTGTATTGAAAGTATTGGCACCAATTTGGAACCTTTGAACGAGGGTATGTCCAGTTTCTCTCAAGACTTGTGGATGTGTATATTGACGCTTGGTAGCCTTTTCTTACGTCCAACAGACGAAATTGGCGAGGATGGCTGGCAATTTATTATCATGAACAATGATCCAGACCTGATAAAGATCGCTCAGAGTGAGGAGCTGATTTTCAAGACTATCGCATCAGCGATACCAATTGAAGTCACGTTCAACAAGCTTTCGTGGGTGAGCGAATTCAGGTGTGTCTTATTTGATTATCTCGACGCTTCCTCGATGTTCGTTTGTTCATTTATTTTAGGGCCAACATCCGCATGGTAAACAAGTTCAGCGAGGGCCGAGTTTTTGTCGTGGGAGGTATGTAGTTCTACTTTCTGAATTATGTACCTGTGCTGACGGAAAATAGATGCTGCTCAGTATGTGTATCTTTGAATGCTTTCTTACCAGTCCGGTTCTGACATATTTTCAGTGTCCACAGTCCAACCGGTGGTCAGGTGTGTGCGCTCTTATCAAATGATGATACCTACTCATCTATCTCTGAACAGGGACTCAATTCAGGTGTACAAGATGCTGTATGTCTTGCCAATGCAGTATGTATGACTCTACTGACTATATACCAGTTCAATCTAGGTTGGAAGCTTGCCCTCGTCGAAAAAGGACTCGCCGAAAAGTCTCTTCTTGAGACGTATAATGCCGAGCGTTTGCCTGTCATCTCCGAGATGCTTGAGATGACCACCACGATTCTCAACAACGCAATAAAGGCAGGCAACATAGCCATCACACGAGGCCCCATCCTTACCATGCTTGGTATTAATTGCCGATTCAGCGACATCGTCCTCGACGAGTTTGCAGTTCCAGGAAAGCCTATCAATGCGTATGGGGTACTTGACGAGGGGCAGCTGGAGGCTGGAGATAGGGCACCTGATGCACCAAATCTGGTCCAGGTGGGAGGTGGAGAATCCGATGTGAAGACGCTTTTTAGTCTGTACAGACCTTGGTATCACACTGTGCTTGTGTTCGCGCCGAGTCACGCAGATGCTACCCTGATTTTGGGTGCGCTGGAGGAATACGACACAAGCATCGTGCAATCAGCAGTCGTTCTGCCTTCATCAGCGACAGGTGCTACTGTTGCATCCTGTGCTGACGTCGTTCTTGTTGATCAGGAGGGCCACGCTTATTCGGCTTACCTCGTGGAAGCTAGTCAGACGAGGGTGTTCGTGATACGGCCGGACGGAGTGGTTGGGGCGATTGTACATGGTGCAGAAGGTGTGAAGAAGTATTTCTCCAAAATACTTTTAGATGTGTAGTGGCCTGAGTTTCCGTTCATTACTTATGACTCTTTCAAGTTGCCTTTAAGCACCACTTATTTCTACATACCTTATTCAAATTGTAGCTATTGAAAACCCATACTTCGCGGCTTCACACAGAACCTTACAGTGTGTAAAGGGGAGCAGTGGAGATGAGAGACAGAGACGCATGTACGCAGAGCACTGTGAGGGTATACTATCATTAGAGGAAGACAGAATTCTGGGGGAGAGCTCTTTTGCGCTCAGTTACCGAACTCGATGAAGTCCGCGAGAGGTCAAGCGAAAGACGACGAAATACGCTGAGAAGCCATGGTGTGCAAGTGCTGCTAGTAAGCAAAGTGAAAATACAATTATCAGTGTATATAATTCATTTTATCGTCAGTATCCTTTCAGACCCTGGAAAGCACGGGGATCAAGATTCAAGACGCACCGTACTCTCTTGAGATCATACTGATCTACAGTGAGTCGTAAAGTGAGGGATTGTGAGTCCTTAGACCTTATACGGGCAGATCCCTGGAATCGACGAGATGAGGGAGACGATATTTGCGGTGAGCTATGTGCACTCGGACAAGTCACGTAATGACTCAGAAGTGTTTAAGAAACTGCTCGACACGAGAAACAATGATATTCATGCGGCAACCTAAGTCGCTTGGACAGATTTTACTGCTCAGCCCCATTCGAGCGACGGGAAGTAGTAACTGCACTTGAAATATATCATGGAGATATGAGTCCGAGTCGGACGCATGTACACAGTGCGGCCGAAAAAGGAAGTCATGAGTCATGACTGTTAGGGAGCAAATATTCTTGCTGGAACGGTGATGGCAAATTGCCTTCTGGGTCTATGGTCATGGAGAAGGTATGCATGGTAGTCATATAAAAACGCTCAATACACGCACCTCTGCAGCTTACCCACAATGCCTCGACGGTTCCCGACACCATCAACCTCCAGTAAAATTTTGCAGCTCATTCCAGGCTCAACACCCCTTCGAGTTTTTGAAGATCATGAGGGGACCGTAAACGCAGTCGTAGTGTTCCCCACTAAGCGACGAATGGTTACGGGCTCGTTCGACAAGACACTTCGTCTGTGGGACTTGGAGACAGGTGTTGTGTTGAAGAAGATGGAAGGGCATAGCGGTAGGGTGAAGGCATTGGCGGTATCGCGAGATGGTCAAAAAATAGCAAGCGGTGATGAAAATGGAGAGCTCATCGTCCGACTCCACGGAAAAACTGGCGAATGCATCACCCAACCCATCAAACCCCACTCCCATGGGGTCTCCTCAGTGGAACTTTCTCCAGATGGTACGATGCTGGCCACTGGTTCATTTGACAGAACGACGAAGCTTTGGTGTACCAAAACGTGGCAGATTGGCAAGGAGAACCAATCAAGTGTGTTAACATTGATCTATCGAGAAACATGCAGCAGACGGTCCCGGTCTAGGTTGGCTGCTTGATAACGATGTAGAAGCCATGGATATACTAGTAGCTTCTGCATCATTACCAGGTTGCCAAATTGACATTTAACGACTGGCTATGAGGCAAATACGAAGCCGCAGCATCCAGTCAAGCGTCGTGAGGTAAACTACGTCCTTGACATCCGTCTCCAAGGATAAGGGTCTGTTAACTAGAGGCAGTGGCTTCCACTGAGCCATTATACGAGCTAGTGTGAGTAAATGATCTGTATTACATGACTGCAACCAAGTTCAACTGCATTCAGTGCTCGTGACAGAGGCAGGTTGGTTTACAGGTTGGGGGACCACTAGCTTCACTCCCATGTTCTTTCGAACCCAGAAGTCATGGGACCTATGCTGGCACGGCCATTTCCGGATTAATCTTACAGCGTGACCGCCATTGCTTTAAATTAGACCGTCACACGGTTTTTATGTAAATGTTAATAAGTCTGTATAGGAGCGACTTCTGTTCGCAGGCTGTTGGGTGTCCACGACGATGAGCAGTGAAAACGAACCTCTAATTTCGAGCGCTAATGAGACAGCGCAGCGGGACTCTCGCATACTTCGCAACCGTGCAATCGTCTGGTCTGTGCTGGCCGTTTTGCTCATCGTTGTTGCAGTTGTCGCACTGGTTGATCCAAACTTTCTGAGCGATATTGGACTGTCGGGAAAACTGCCCCGGGATCCTAAGCTTGCAGCGCAGCGTGTGCTCGACATAGCTCCGGTCATCGTACGCCTCTTGGCCCATATTCTCCATTCATTCCTCACTGACTGTACACATAGGATGGGCACATTGGTATGTTTCCTTCAGCATATAACCCGTTTGTTATCTTACAGTCCGCTTTTGAGATCTTCCCATGGTTGCTCGCTTTGGCTGGCGTAACAATGTCACCGATGTTCCTCTTGATGGTCAAATGCCCATGCATGTGGATATTCCACGTCTGAAGGAAGGGAAAGTCGGAGGATTCTTTTGGTATACAGCAGTATCCTTGCATTCCACCTTAAGCTGACTTTCATCAGGTCTGTATATGTGAGTTGTGCAAGCCCTGAAGATGAGGGACCAAATTTCTTGAAGTCTACCTGGCGTGTCCGGTCTGGATATTCCTTATCGAGCTCAATGCATCTCGCTGACCACACGAAATGATAGAGATACCCTCGAGCAAATTGACGTCGCAAAGGGCCTGATATCGAAGTATCCTAATGTAAGTTCCATATACTTTTATGTTAGAAATGCTGACTGATGTCTAGCGCAGGATTTTGCATACACTGTCAGCGCAAGTGACATCAAGTCAGCAATAAGAGACCGCAAAATCGCAAGTATTCTGGGTGTTGAGGGGTGAGTACCACTTCGCTGGCTACTTCCATTCCTCTGAGGTCATACCAGTGCCCATCAACTTGGGAACTCTATTGCCGTCCTCCGCCAGTACTACGAGCTTGGAGTTCGCTACGTAACTCTCACCCACACTTGTCACAACGCTTTTGCCGACTCCTGCGGTATGTTGATACCGAGTGTCCCACGGCACTACGGTCTCAGCCCTCTTGGCTTTAGGCTCGTAGAGGAGATGAACAGACTTGGGATGCTTGTTGATCTATCTCATACTTCTGACATGACTGCAACACAAGCGCTGTTGCATTCTAAGGCACCAGTCATCTGGTCCCATTCGTCTGCCAGGGCCATTCATGACGTTGCTCGCAATGTGCCTGACGAAGTGCTTAGTCTCGTCGGTTTCGGCGAAGGCCAAAGGGATGCTGTTGTCATGGTCTGTCCAGAAAACAATCAATATCCTGGTTTTAATGGTTGCGCAGGTGAACTTCAATGGCCCATTTGTTGCTGCCGACGGCGAGGCTGATATCGAAGCTGTCGCTGATCACATTGAGCATATTGCAAAAGTTGCTGGAGTGAAACAGTGAGTTGTGACTGATACTCGCTCGGCTGCCAATCTAATGGTTATCATAGCGTCGGGATCGGGAGCGACTATGATGGGATTCAAGTTACTCCAAAAGGACTCGAGGACGTTTCAAAGTATCCTGCTCTTGTACGCGATATATTTCTGCCTCTAAGCGATGATTGACTATTCTAACTTCTCAGATCGCTGAGCTGTACAAACGCGGATGGAGCAAGCAAGAACTAGCTGGGCTCACTGGGGGAAATTTCCTGCGGGTGTTTGAGGGTGCAGAGAAAGTGGCCAAAGAATTGCAGGCCGCAAGAACCTTGCCAAAATACGACATTTACGATAAGAGAGAAGACCTGCCCATTCACACGGAGCTTTGATATGTTCAGGGAAGTGCGGTACGTCTTATTTGCGTAACTATTCAAATTCGTTTTAGTCGTGAATGTAATTTGCTATGTTTATCTCTGCCTTACTGATGAAAGACCATTTGAAGAGCTATTTATTCTTTGCTCACATGTCCAAAAATATTTTCATGCCTTCCGCACCACGGACGACCTCTTCAATCACGCTGCGTTACAAAGACCTTGGTCTGATCTCCGACGTGGTGAGCGTAATAAGCGTGGCCTTCTTGATCGATAAAAACGAGGTTAGCAAGACATGCGACGGATGTCGCTGTTGCTGATGATGGCGGCATGCTTATCACAATGCTTTCTTGTACGTCTCCAACGTGCCCTGTGGCGTGATCTCGCGAAACTTTTCGCGAGCATAAGGACTGGAATGCCAGGGTCTGCACTTAACGTTAGATTCTCCGGGCTGGACATGGACATAAAGCACTTTGGGTACCCCGTCGTCTCTCCTTCAATCTCCAGATGCCCCACATCAAGGAGAGTAAAAGCACACCAAACAAGCAACACGTTGACCTTCACGTTTCGGGCGCTGGTGGAGCTGATGGTAGCATAGTAAATATACCCCACATCACGAGGCGGTCTGCACTCGATAATCAAGTACGTTTTCAAAATCGGAAAATTGGTCAAGCAATCAATGGTGATGCTGACTGGATTCCACTACCCGAGGCGTGTAAGGACTCCCCATGTCACAAGGTGACCACCTCCTGCACTCCTTTACAGGCGATTGTGATACAGGCATCTGAAACACATCAAAATGTAAGCAGTCATCCCACTCATAGCTGCCCATGACATTTTCATTACTATCTGGTGTGTCCAGAGCATGGACATTACAGGAGCCGCTCGCTCCAGAGCAAATCAAACTTGAGAACTGGACAGCCAACCTGATGACAAGGATCCAGACCAAGACGCCGATGCATCTATCACGCGTGCACTGTACCGGGAATTAGCGAGAGATGAGTCCGGGACAGTTGGCTTCAACTCGTGGAAACTGCGGATCATTACATAAATGTCGAGGTATGACTATGATAGGTGGCGAGAATGTCCTACGCGTTGCAGCTCCATTTAAACATGGAACGAGTGGGGCCGTTTTACTGCCTTGGTCAATGCGATGTAGAGCTGTTCTGAAGTGCGCAGCAGGAACGAGCGCACGAGGGGAAAGTTTTACGATGGATGATAGATCAAAAAGAGCTTGAATAGACCATAGAGAACGGAGACTGAGTTAAAGTGGGGGTGAGTTTTGATTCCCATACGATGACATCGTAAGCAGTAGTAGCTCAAAGTGCCCGGAAAACACACGACCGAGGGATATCGATAAAGGCAGTGCTGAACGTGTTCATATAATGATTAATGAGGCACGAGCGTCTGGCGTTTGAAGCAAATCAGGTCACCTCGCTGATGAACGAGACATCGCTGAGTGATGATGCTGTACGCAAACAGTTGATGCGAGTGATTCGAGAAAAGATGATAAAGCAATAAAGCCATTTGGCTTTAATCATCAAACGATCCATCTCTTCTCGCACGAGATAGAAGGTCCTTGAACGCCCGGCAAAACATCAAGCTTTCAAGCTTGAATATGAGGTGCGAGCGCTTGAGCCCCAAAGCTTAAGTGGACGATGGTCTCCCCCAGTTAGACCATAATTTTAAGGAAGGTGTGGGTGATGAGGGACGCGTCGAGGTTAGGCGGGCACACGTGACCAATCGACGTCATACAAGTGTTTGTCGTCATTAGGAGCCGGAGTTGGATATAAATGCATACGCTCATCCAACGCCAACTACACACCACACTTGTACACTTGATCTATACCGCTTCCTTCACAATGTACCGAGCATCCAATTTACGTTCCAGCATTGTCCATGTCCGTGCCCCGACTGTCATCCTTCCTGTCGTGAGTCGATCAGCGTTTCATGATTCTCAAAACTAAATGAAACTGCAGGCGCGTAGGACGTACGCAACTCAGCCTCCCCCAGCGGGACAATCGTCCTCCAATCCAAAAGTTGGCCCTTCCACCGATGGTGGTGGACACAACAACGGCCTCATTATCGCATCTGCTGTTGCGGCACTCGGGGGAATGTACTATTTCTACAACCGCGACAGGGGCGTCAGTCTTCAGGAGCAAAAACGCAGAGATGAAGAGGACCTGAAGCGGGCGATGCGCGCAGCACAGGGTGATATAAAGCAAGTCGGGGAGGCAGAGAAGGCAATGGTTGAGGATAGCCTTAAAGAAGCTAAGGAGAGCTATGGTGCCGCGAAGGTCTGTCGCCTGAGCATTCAAGTGAACCGAGTTGTCTGACCTGCTACGCGTAGGCCTCAGCTAAAGAGAAAATAAGTGGATCCCGCGAAAAAGTAGACGAAGCTCGCTACGACCTAACCGAACATGCACGGCAGACAGCACATGAAGCACAAGCAAAATTAAATCAGTACAAGAATGCAGCTGAGAGATCCCTAGCGGACGCTAGGAAGACATCCGAACAAAAATTTGAGGAGACGAAAGACGCCGTCGTACAACGCGCAGATGAGGCCAAGGATGCAGGCCAAAGCTGGTTTGGATGGGGCCAGTCAAAGACAGATGAGGCGAAACGTGAAGGCGCCCAGAAAGTTGCAGAGAATGCAGAAGATGTTAAGAAGAGGGCAGAGAGACAGGCATGAGATTTGCAATGACTTGGATGGACATTCGACGAGCTGTACTCCTGAATTGATATTGTAAATACTTTACCCTATATTGCACGTTATTCTTTCTGAGCTGCAATGACCTTATCACAGTGAGAGATGTCAGTGAGCGCTTGAGATCGGTGGTTAGCTCCATGCCATGGGAAGTTGGACCGTGGGGAATATAAGGTCTGCCTACACGGTATTGTCCGCATGTGCTTCTCCAGTGACAACCCTGAGCAAGTTGAATTCGGCTGACTCGGCTGGCGGTCTGCGGAATCGCTGATAGTTGATCAGTGTATATCCATCACCGTCTTTGAATTGTCTGGTGTCGTGGCTTAGATGGCTGAAATTCAGACCAAGGTTATCCTTGTAGGCTTAGGGTATGTGATTCAGAACACTTTACATTTGCAAAGGAAGTACTGACTGGCTCCCCTATAACATCAATAAGTGGTGCCACTTGCTCAGGAAAGACTACTCTCGCGAAGCATCTGAAGAACATATTGCCCAATAGTTTCATCGTGCACCAGGATGTCGGTGGATTTCTCAAAGAATATTAACATTGACTTATCTATGGCAGGATTTTGCTCCAGTAAGGCAGGGTGCTAAAATAGATCGTATCTTTTCGCTGAGTGGTCGCGCAGCCTGAAGAACTACTTCCCATCAGGCATGGCTACCAGGACTGGGATGCTCCAGATTGCGCAATCGACTACCCACGATTTTCCAATTTTTTAAAGCACGTGAAAGACACGGGACGCATACCAGATGATCATAAAAGCCATGACCATTTGAACAAGCAGATGGATTTTCCTATAGAGGCAGAGTGTCAAACCCGACTGGCTGAACGCTTCAGAGCTATCCAAGATCAAGCCAAGGAGAGTGACCACATCAATATAGTGTGGGGTTTGGCCGACGGGTTTCTGTTGTATTGGAATCAGGTGCGTCAGCATTGATGCCTACATAGAATGAGGAATCAACACGACATGGTCATAGGAAGTAATAGAACAGCTTGATATGCGCTTCTTACTCCGTGTCTCACTCAAGTCATTGGAAGACCGGAGGAAAGCGCGGCAGGTTTACATCACAGCAAGTATGTCCTTCAATATTCACGTTCTATCTTCGTTCATATTCCACTCGGATGATTATTAACTGTTCTCCTCTTTATAATTTCCTGAATGTCAATTGTGCCCGTGTCGACGTGTCTAATTTCAACAACTCCACACGCCTCCGTGCTTTGTCCGGCTACTCTCATGGAGGGCGATATAATGAAGAGGGGGACGCATGGATAGACCCCCCTGACTACTGGGAGAAGATCGTGCTCCCTGCTTACCTAGACGCACACCGCGAGATATTCGAGGGTGGTGATGTTGAAAATGGGGGCCTGACAAATAAAGTGGAAGGTCTTGTTTTAATCGAGCCTGAGAAAGAGGGCAAAGAGATGAGCATGACCGATATCGTTGAAAGGTGTTGCCAGGAGTTGTATCAACTTGTCAGGGCGGAAGGGTCGAGCGAGTAGGGAGTCAAGGCACAGACTGCCAGCTGTGTCATCCGATATCTTTTGCAGTGTACAACTGCTGTATACCACAGATTATGCGTAAATAGAATTTTTTTAAGCGATCCCTGCATGGTTGGTGCAACAAATAATTCTGCTTGTGACCGGGAATATGTTCCCGGAGAGAGAATCCACGAGCTCCGGAGGTTGACGGAGGTCATGACAACTCCTCGTGGGCCCCCCGTGATTTCCATTTTTTCTGATACCCGGAAGCTTACATAATGCGACAATCACATGCTCGTTTTAATTTAAACCTTTCGTATTGTGATTGGTTAGTAATTACAGGTACTTGACCGGAACCACTTCCCCATCCTCACTCCCTCTTTACCACCATCGTCACTCTTAACAATTATTGCAATGTCCCAAGTGATTGTCGTTGGAGGTGGCCTTGCCGGTCTCTCTGCAGCCCATACCCTTCTTGAGCGTGGTGCTAATGTATTGCTACTAGACAAGCAAGGGTACAACGATTCACATCGAGAGTGAAACAGTTATTGACGGAGCTCCGCAGATTCATGGGTGGAAACTCCACCAAGGCCACTTCTGGCATCAATGGTGCTGGTACCCAGACGCAGCAGGAGGCTGGTATTCCAGATAACGCAAAGATCTTCTTCGAGGACACGAAGAAATCTGTGAGTGATCTCATATTTGTGCCCGAATTCCACACCAATGCATTTTAGGCTCGTGAACTTGCTCGCGATGACCTTATCCGTGTGTTGACCGGTCGCTCAGGCGATGCTGTTAACTGGCTACAGGACAAATTCGGCCTTGACCTCTCAAAGGTCGCGCGGTTAGGAGGTCACAGCCAGCCTCGCACACACAGAGGGAATGCACAATTCCCTGGTATGGTATGTAGCATCGATATCCGTTCCTTCAGTATCGAACTTATACTAATCTGCGTTTCTCTACTGACAGGTTATTACCTACGCACAAATGGAACGCTTGGAGGATTTGGCAGTGAGCCAGCCTGACCGCGTGAAGATTTATAAGAAGTCCCGTGTCACAAAGCTCGTAAAAGACGAGTCTGGCGCAGTTGTGGGCGTTGAGTATGTCCGCAATGGCAAGACAGAAACCGCATACGGCCCCATCGTCCTCGCTACTGGTGGTTATGCCGCAGATTTCACTGGTGGTGACTCTCTGCTGAAGAAGCACCGTCCCGAATATTATGATCTCCCAACGACGAATGGCGACCACTGCACGGGTGATGGTCAGAAGATTGCTATGGCTATTGGTGCGAGTGCGATCGACCTTGAGAAAGTGCAAGTGCACCCGACGGGTCTTGTTGACCCTAACGAGCCTGACGCAAAAGTGAAGTTCTTAGGCTGCAGAGGCTCTTCGTGGTGTTGGCGGTTTGCTTCTTGACAAGAACGGCGACCGTTTCGTCGATGAGCTTCAACATCGCGATTACGTCACTGGCAAGATGTGGGAGAACGGCAAGGTATTTTCAATGTAACTTTTTCTTTTTGTCATTTACCCAATAATCTTCCTCAGTATCCCATTCGCTTGATATTGAACGGTCAGGCCTCAAGCGAGATCGAATGGCACTGCAAGCACTATGTCGGTCGTGGCCTCATGAAGCGTTTCGATTCTGGCGAGGCTCTTGCGAAAGAGATGGGCATCAAGCCTGAATATCTTAAGAAGACTTTTGACACATATAATGCAGGTGTCAAGGCAAAGAAGGATCCATTTGGCAAGAAGGTAACGTCCGTTTTCTAAGACATCACTCTGTTGCTCAACTCCAGAAGTACTTCTCATCAGCAGAGTGGAGCATGAACGACTACTTCAATGTCGCAATTATGACTCCTGTATTACACTACACCATGGGTGGTTTGGAAATCGACCCCGAGTCACGCGTCATTGGCAAAGATGGTAAACCCATTCCTGGTCTCTTCGCTGCTGGTGAGGTTGCTGGTGGTGTACATGGTGCCAACCGTCTTGGTGGTTCATCGTTGCTTGGATGTGTTGTTTTCGGACGTGTATCTGGCGACTCAGCTGCTGCCTTTCTCCTCCAGGCGACTAGCGCCATCGTAGAGAAGGCAGGTGGACGTCTTGGTGCACTCGTAGGACAGCTCGAGTCGAAGCCTACTGCTTCATCTGCGCCTACACAGCCTGCTGCCACAAGTGTTCCCGCCCAGTCATCATCACTATCAAAGGAATTCAGTGCCGCGGATGTAGCTAAGCACAATAAGAAGGACGATATCTGGGTCATTGTTAATGGCCAAGTGCTGGACGTCACATCCGTAAGCGCAGGCCTTGCAGTCATGTGACTTTACTGATTTTCGCGATACAGTTCTTGCCTGATCACCCAGGAGGCGAGAAAGCTATTATTCTCTACGCTGGCCGTGACGCAACTGAGGAGTTCAACATGCTTCACGACCCCAAGGTACGAAACATTGTCCTGATTCCGTGTCCTTGTCTTTGGCTCATTCGCTGTGTAGGTGATTCCAAGATACGCACCAGATGCTGTCATTGGTACACTGAAGAAGTAGGGGTAAATGGCGCTACGGCTCCGCTCAACAAAAGTAGAGGAACCATATCCGTCATCTTTCTTCAGCATTGCATATCTCTGAATCTTTCACCCATGTCTTTGCTTGGTTGCTGTAATCCAGTGTATTCTAATGTTGTCTTCGTACCATTCTTAAGTAACTGATCCATGAGGCCAACGTGAGGCTGTGGTTGTTGTAGAGTTTGAAACACTAAATGCCGAAATAATCAAGAATCTGATTGATAACGCCTCCGCCATGGCGTGACCCTGGGAATGTTCGTGCGGCGAGGTTATAATAATATGTATGTATTCGAACTTTGTATGTACACCTCACGTCCCACGGCGCCACTTTATTTCGAATAATGTTCGGACATCACGGACGCCCAATTGCTTGTGTCTGGTCATAACCTGTGTCGCCTCCTAGGCGGAAGAAATCGGATGGACACCAGTACTTACGTGCAAGGGTTGGCCAGGCTGCCAACGGTACTGATAACCATGCGCCATGGCCTGCGTGACTGTGCTAGGGCATAGCATATGCGCCATCTGGCGTCGGAGGAGCCACCCGAAAAATGTAGGCCCTCATTTCCGATCCCAAAGTAGATGATACGACCCAACACATTGAGCTGATTTATTTCGTTCTATACAGCAAGTGCGGGAATGCTATCCTGCGCACCTACATACGGTCCCAGACTTCTGTTTGAAGCCTTCATCCATCCCATTATGTGTGAAGGCTGTGGCGTACTATGGTCTTCCACTCCGCTTGAATCTGCCGACTGTGAGAAATGGCGTCTTCCCACCATCACCACCACCACTACCACCACCGCCAGTGTATGTGTACGTATGTACCATCACCATTCCGCGATGAGATGTTCTGCACGCAGCAATCCCAAACTCACGCCATTATGTGGTTTGAGGCTCCTTTCTGTCAAACGTGATATTCCCATTACCCGTTGTTCCAAAAACCCGAGGATAACGTCTGTGTGGAAATCCATTGTTTCAATGGCTCTCGGCTCATTAAGGTGCATGCTAGTGAACCATCGCTTCCGTCGATGACTCGAATGCCGGCTTGGCAACTACTGTCATTGGCGCACATGCCCGAACACTTCATAGTTCAAAATATCTGAATATGTCGGAAACTTATTATTACCTTTCTTAGTTCGCCACCAGCCATCTCTGCGAGCTGTATCAACCAAGGCCCGTAGATTTGTGGATTGGCAGCCAAGGATCATTTCGGATCTGGGAATGTATAAAGTGTGTTGCCCGCCAGCCTTATGGATAGTACAAAGCGTTCCCAACCCTCCACCTTCAATTCAATTGAAATCAACCGCCTGCATGCAATCCTCTAACTCAGTTGCCGGGGCCGCAGTATTCGGATGGCATGGGACTACAAGGTAATATATGAAACCTAACTGTGCCGATATTTGAGGGTCTGACGCTGTTGCGTGTACAATAGCACAAATCACACCCCTAGAACTTCAAATCCTTGGTCTGGACCCATTGTCAATGATCCATCAAACCAGCGCTTCCCGGGTAGCTTCACCTCTTCTCCAGAGTTTTTAGTAATGCAGTACGTCATCATTCCCGACATCGTTACGTCGGTTCCTCATTGCAAAACTCCAGGAACTCCGGACACCAGCACCATGATAATACAACATTCATTCCCGAGAACTCTACTTTATCACATTCAGAAACAGTAGATGATAGAACGTTTTGTTATCCTCAAGAACTGTGGTGTCTTCCGCTTGAGGATGACAACCTAAGTCAAGCATATATTCGGTTGGTCTGTCAAACCGAGCTATGAGCATACTATTCATTCAGCTACTAGGAGCCAGTGCGGACAGCCTTTGTGGTATAACCCAGGTGAATTGCATCCGTCCTTGCCGATGTCACAGTCGTCGATGGAACCAATACCTATCATGATGCCGTCTCAAGAACAATGTTTGTCTTTCTCTCCAACATTTTGTTATAACCTTTGATCATCCTTACTCCAGCGGACCTTTTTGAATGCGCGTGGATTGAAGATGGTAAACGATGCGGCCATTCCATTTCGAGTGACAAACGCAAACTTGGCATGCATCTTAGCGACTCTCACGGTATACACGGAAAGGACAAGAAAGAGGTTGTTTGCTCCTGGCAGGGTTGCAACCAACCAATGCAAAGAGGCGCCATTGGGCGGCACATCATTAGCCGCCATCTACAAGTTAGATGGACATGCAAGTTTTGTCCCAAGAATTATTCTCGCCGCGACGCTATGAAGAAACATGCCAAGGACTGTCAAGCCTCATAGGCTTAACCGCTGACAACCGGACTCTTTTCTTTTCATGACTAACCCACCTAGTGTAATGTGTTATACCCTCACCGCTGCTGTATTGCCACAACCTCGAACTTATGGTATGGAACTTTGCTAGTATACCTATGTATCGATATTGACACTCCTTCAATGATGTATTTGACTCGTTTTATAAGGTAACAATAAAAACTCGATTTACTCAATACTGGTCAAAGGAAAAGCGATGACGACTTTAAAGGTGCCTTCAGGTACGTACCACTAGGATCCTGATCACACAAATCGTAAATGAGTCAACTTAATCAGCGGAATTCATACTTGTATGCAATGCCTGCAACGTTGAGTCTTGGTGCAGGGAGCCCCTGGGCTACGGCCCCAAATTGACCCTTTGCCAAGGACAATACATCGAAAGGAGGATTGCTGCAGAATAGAGATCAGATTGTATCCGACGGCCTCCCATTTTTTGGCTACGGAGTTGCAAATGTGCAAGATATTCTGAGCTGATATCGAGGTGCATGCACAAACTCAAGTCTGGCTGATTGAAGTGGAGTTTAGATCATAAAACTGCCCGTACACTGGCTTATACGAGTTCCCATAAACCGCCGCCGCCCCAGACTCGATGCCCATGATCCGTGCTCAGTGAGACGCTGCGGGCAGGTGGCGGTGGTGGCGGGATGTCAGGGCGCTTGTCAACCCACTGGCAACTTCAAACTCCGCTAACTGTGCCAAGCATGCGTGTGTGCGTGAACCTTGACCGGTGACTGGCCAATTCAAGTTAATTTCAGACTCGTCCTCGCGAGGCTTGCTCTGAATTCATGGACCAGCATGATTCGGCGGCTTCTGAGTCATACTCGAGAATCGAGGCAATCGGCATCTCTTGTCACCGGCTGTATGTACTGTAAGTCAGTATCATCCATCATTGATAATCGACGACCACCTATATAACATGCATAGTTCAAAATTCAACTTAGATGTCAAATTTTTGGCTTTCTAGGCTCACTCGATATTCGGGAATCGGCACTGAATTCGACAGACGGTGGCCTAGTAGATTGTCTGATCCTACACCACCTGGCTCTTTTCCATTTCAAAATCTTATTATATTTCACTTCCCAGGATAGGGAGGTCTACCATTTGGAAAGCCATGTGCTCAGCGAATCAATGTGATCCATTTATCACTCGGTTCATTGACATGGTTGCATATTGTGGGATGTTGGCGTGTGACTCCGACGGCAGGAACGTCGGGCTGAATCTTCTAGCATGTGTAGAAGAGCAGAGGGCAGGCAGTTAATTGCGATACGGGGGGTTATGCGGTAAGTCCTGTTGTCACCGTAATTGAACTGCACTTTATCGCAATTGACGCGTAATTTGAACTGCTTCTGAATCAATCGCGTATATGTGTTCCATCTCAGTGTTCTAGTGAGCATATCATACTGCGGTACTTGACAAATAATAATCTGCTTTCCCATCGGATGTCATCACGGTGGTACATCACCAGCCGGCAGTGCTCAGTTACCCTTCCGACGGGAGATACATAATATTGGCTTCCACCACTGTCATCAACACTCCAGGAACCCTTTGGAACAACGTTCAATTCTCAACTGCGCTGATCACATCACTTCAAAACGTTATCCTACACAGTATCTTTCACAAGCTGCAACCGTGAATGTTTTTCCCGCAGCTACTCTTGCTTCTTCGGGAAGGTCTAATGATACTGGATCATCGCATTTGGGGTATATATAACCCTTGAGCGTTGTAGCATCTTGGTATCACCCTCTGACACCCAAGCCTCCGGTCATAGGGAGGATGAAATCTGTGAACATTCTGATCATTGTCGCCTTTCTCATCGGTGCGGTAAAGGCAGGTCAGTATTCTGTCAATATCTGTTAGACTTGATATTTAAGCACACCAGCTAGCGGCAACAGCACAGTCAGTGTCGAAGCGCCGACAATAGTCTCCACAGTATTTAGTTAGTCCACAAAGTATCATCTTTCAGATTGGGTCTAATCCATTTTACCAGAATATGACCCAAGCAAAACCGCTGCAGCTGTGGCAGGCGCGTTGTACTCTGTCGCCAGCCTTTGCCTCTTCACGCGCTTATTTATGAACAAGGCATGGTGGGGACTTTGTCTCCCTATAGCCTCAACCTGTCAGTTTTCACCACCCACCTCGAAATATGCACTGACATCTAAAATCAGTGATGTCCGTTGGTTTTTTTATGCGCATACCCATGGCGACGAACCCGAATTCTCTCCCGATTTTCATGGTTCAACAGCTCCTCACCTTGTTACCGCCTGCCGCATACCTCGCCTTCAATTACATCCTTTACGGGCGTTTCATCGTGAACTGCGTGGATAGACGCTACTCTTGGATTAAGCCAGAGAGAGTTGCCCGGTACTTCGTTATCAGCGATATCACGACATTCCTCATACAGGTTTGAAGTTTGATTGATTGTTTCCTTTGCACGGTGGATTGATCACGATATTGTGCAGGGCGGAGGTGGCGGTATGGAAGCGTCGAAAACAGCGACAAGTCAAAAGCTGGGCGCGAATATACTGCTCGCTGGTCTAGTCCTTCAGACAATCTCGTTTGCGTTCTTTATGATCCTGGTTTTATATGCGTGGCATGGTATCGTTCGAGACGGACTTTTGTTCCGTGAGGAGCCATGGGGGGCAATTCTTTGGATACTGATGTTCTCTTCAACAGCCTATATGGTGCGCCTTTCACCCACACTTCATCGCACATCTTCACTGATGTTGTGCGATACAGATTCGCTGTATCTATCGTGTCGCCGAGCTTGGTCAAGGCAACGGCGGCTATCTCGTCACACATGAAAGTGAGTGTTAGGAGATACTAAAATTGAGGCGTCTGGTCTAACCCTCGCCTGACAAGTCTATTTCTACCTCCTCGACTCATTGCCACTGTTGATTGGCATTTGCACATATATTATTTACTGGCCAACGAAATATCTCGAAGCGTCGGCCAAGTCCGTCTATAACATGACGGGAAGAGTTTAAAGTTCTCTCTTCCTCATTCACTTGGGTGCGTGATCCGTCTTACCCGCATAAGGACAACTGGACTGCATATGTTACAATAATCCACTGCGATGACATAATGTTCCGTATCCTACATACTTATATATTCATGTTCGGAGCGAATAGGAAAGCGATTGCACCACATCATTGCGCTATACCCTTAATGTACTTCATGCCGACAATGCCCGTAACCGATGCAGGCGCACTAAAATTTCACAGCTGAAACCCGAATGCTACTCTCATGCGAGCGTCTTCTCCATAACCACCCTTACGATTTCGTCTACTACAGCAATTTGGCAACAAACCCAGTGATTTACATCATTTGTATTATCATCTATGACTCAACGTGACAGTGATAGTGGAGATATGTCATTACTGCTGCCGGACGGAATCGGCATACGGATGATGAGGTCTTCAGACATGCCACAAGTTCGTGCACTCCATGTGAGGAAACACTTTCACATTTGTACACCAGAGCCCCTGACTGGCAGGTCGCTTACGATCCCAAAGAGCAAACTCCTCCCAATCGCATACCCTACCGCATTCTTTGTGCAGCTGCTCGTACAGCCTCAGCACATGTGCCTGATAGCCACATACGATGGCAAAGTCGTAGCATTCGCCTCTGCTACCATAGAGACACGGCATTCAAACCCAGGACCACTCGGTTCCAGTGGGGATCAGGATATAACCACTGGAGAAGGCGCTCCGCGGGTTACCTTGTTGACGCTCGGGGTATCGCCCGAATTCCGACGACAAGGAATTGCACGTAGACTCGTGCATGAAATCGTGCAGCGCCTACGATCGTCTTGCGGAGCTCCTTATCATGAATCACCTCCTGTTCCATCGCTGTCAAAGAGCGATTCTAATGCGGTGATTATATGCGCAGAGGTCGCGCGCAACAATTCGTCTGGACAGTCTTTTTACTCCCACCTTGGGATGCAAAGACAACTAGAAGTGGATAAGCAGGGAGGGTTTGGTTCAAAGGCACACACGTGCATGGTACTTGGGGTGATGAGAACAGTTCCCGTTTCCTGAAGATTGCATCGTTGGATTTTTGAGGAGGGGGATGACGTTTCGCTGCAGAGACAATAGTTACGAGGGTTATCAAGGACGCGCTAGAATAAGTTAGAAGCCATAGTGAATTTATGTTTCTATAATGACATCTAAAACTCACGATGGACATTTGTGTCTGCCTCTTGCTTCAGCTAGAAAGTCAACGTGAAGACAGCCTGTGATCTGGGGCACATGAGGTTACTTGCAGATGGCAGTTAATGAACCTTGGAGGCTGCCAGCGCGGGAGTACACCCACCTGAGGATGGGGTCGGAGGGTCAGATATGTCGGATATCCTAGGATCAAATAGTCTGACCCATCTCACCAAAAGGTCTCCAAATTACGATTTCATCCTGTTCAATCAGACACAGACAGTTGGTAAAGAAAGTTCGAGAGGGGGTCTTATCGCAGGTTTATTAGTCTAGAACATGTCGGAAAGGGGAAGTAGGGCATGATTAGCTTGATATGAAAACATCGAAATTCCCCAATTCTCTAGCATCATCAGAAAAAAATCAAGCATCTTACTATGTATGTATATCAAGTACTGATCTGTCGCGTTTCACTGCAACTCCTGTGATAGGTTTGATCAGTAAAGATCCGCGTTGAGACCAATGTTTCGCAGCGCCACGAGAGCTATGAGGCATGAGTGATGATCAGCTGCTTGATCAAAATTCTTTTTCAGTCCAGTGCTCTGGCCACATGCAAGTTTTGTCAAATGACCACGAGAATCTGGGAGGTGCAAGGGCAACTCCAAACGCGAAGTATGTGTAAACTTAAAAACCACGTTGGCATGTCCCAAAGCAGCTAGGGGAGTCTGAAAATCAGAGCACCCCACTATAAAATCCATCGCCCATTCTGTCTTTGTTATCAACCCGTTCTTTTGAACTCTGATAGTTCAGGAAGGGCATTACTCGTCATCACACATAATCATGACGGCAAAAGTTTACGTTGGGTATGTTGATGTTGCTTTGATCGTGTCTTGGAACGATTTTACTGATGTCGGCATATCGATCAGGAATCTGAGTTGGAACACGACGGATGACTCCTTGAGACAGGTTAGTTCTTCTGCACGATTATTTCGTCTTTGATGCTGATTATCTACCTTACAGGCCTTCGGAGATTTTGGAAATGTCACTGATGTGCGCGATCTATTTGAGGCGATCTCCCATCGTAGTCAAAGATAGCGACGATGGCAGATCGCCCAAGGGTTTTTTTTTCTGCGACTAAAATTGTTATATGCGCTCCTGCTCGTTGCACGTTTGCGTTTTTTTTTTTAGGCCATCGTAATGAAGGACCGTGAAACTGGCCGCTCTCGTGGTTTTGGTTTCGTCACCTTCGCTGGCGGTGAAGAAGCTCAGGCAGCCATCGATGGGATGAACGAGCAAGAACTTGACGGTCGCCGGCTTAGGGTCAACCTGGCCAATGCTAGACCCAGTGGTGGGGGAGGCGGAGGTGGAGGCTACGGTGGGGGTGGAGGTGGTTACGGCGGCGGTGGAGGCTCATATGGAGGCGGCGGCGGTCACGGCGGCTACGGTGGCGGATACAATGGCGGCGGCGGCGGCGGTTACGGCGGAGGCTACTAAGCTCCTCGAAGGTTTTGTGTTTTCAAGCTGGTCGGTGTCGCAATTCTGTATGATGTTCAAAGGTCGTGTCCATCCGCGTCAAGCTACGATATTTCCGCATGCATTACAGTATCTGTTTGATCATAACGCAACTTAACTACTCGGTCGAAATTTGTATCACAATACGTTTTCCTTTCAAAATTTGAATGTTTGTGGATCCCTAAGGGTTGCAAAGTTCCAGAAGACGACCTCGAGGCCCTCCTAGCCGAGGGGCGGATTAACTCCGTAATTCTCAGCGCTAATGATCAAAGTGTTGCCTAGGTCAGTTCTAGGTTTTTGGTTCTGAAAAGGTAATAGACTGATCGAAAACGTGTCACGGAAAACATTGGTGAGGCAGCTACGCAAAACTGACAAGCCTCCTTGCTGTACAGCTGTGTGCTATGGCCCAAGAACAAGGAAAATATCAAGTCAAAGGCGCGTCGTCGAGGAATAGGGATTCGTTTAATTCGTTTCCAGGGTTAGTCCCTGGATAAAGGTCGCCGCCCGGTGCCACGCCGAGGCTAGGCAAAGCTAGTGGCCTTTTTATGCCGGTCTTCTGGTCTTCGTTCCCTACAACCCAGTGTTGAAGCAAGTCATCTGAAACCAGAGATCGGTCGACGCAAGCATTTTGCCTTGTAGAACTCTTTGTGCGCTGTGGCAGGTGTCAAGGCAGGGCCAAACTCGTTTTGTTTCTATGAACACCCGAGCAATGGCCGACATGGTAAGTCGATCACAACTGCTCTTGTATCATGCGTACCTTCCGTCAAATCTGCATGGTTTGGTTGTAGAAGGACCATCGAAAGAGCAGATTGTGGACTTTGGGGGTTCAGAAGCTGTGCTAAACCGGTCCATAGAGCAAACAACTCCACAACAGAGTGGACCCACAAGGACCTACTAAAATTGGACCTCTCTTTCCCGCACTTCATCTACGACGCGACCTTCCAGTTTTTCCTCTTAACCACAACTTTCATCCTTCAATTCAAACGAACTTTCAACCTCCGAACCTCACGTTATACACCTTATACTACGCTCTTCACCCATTGCACCCAATGACAGGTCCAATAAGATCAAAAGGAAAAGGTCGCGTAACAGATGATGAAGAACTCAGGCCTCAGACACAACCGCCTCGACCTCCGAACGCCTGGATTCTCTATCGCTCCGATAAGATAAAGGTTCTACCACCAGCAGAACCTGGTCAACGGAGCAGAGCGCAGGCTGACGTTTCAAAACTCATTTCCGACATGTGGCGAAATGAGTCAGATGCAGTGAAACTAGAGTATGAGCGTCTCGCAGACGCGAAGAAGGCGGAGCACCAGCGTCTATACCCTGATTACAGGTTCCAACCCATGAAGAAGGAGGAGAAGGAGCGCTTGAAGGAAGCGAAAAGGCAGAGCAAGGAACGCGCTCGGGAGAAGAAGAAAACTCGCGGTCGCGCAAACGCGGTTGCCGGGCCCTCACAGGAGCAACGCGAAGCAGTTGTACAGCCAGTGCAAGAGCATCAACAACAACACGTCGTGCCAGCGATGGCGTATGCACCTCCTTACCCTCTCCCCGGCATGATGCCTGTCCAGAACGTCCCGGCTTACCAAAATTACGCCTATCCCACACCGGAAATGCAGTTTGGAGCCGGAGGTCCATCGCCACCGTTGTCAGCTGCTTCATCACCGGGTCCCTCATCAGCTTCTGAATCTTCATCGCTCTCGGATGATCTTCTATCACGACTGAATGAGATGCCGTCAGTTCACGGATCTCTCGTTCCAGATGCGCAACCCCAGCACTCACAGCAGCCTTATGGTGGTCTTCCGTCATTCTCCCAAGCATTCCCTTATTCCCATGATTTATACAACATGCCTATGCAACAACCGCAGGCTGCCTATGCTCAATGGCAGGTTCCACAAGAGCACAACGTATCGCAGCCGTCTGGTTCGGGAGCTGCCCAACAACCTGCTCCCAAGTGGGATAACTTTGATGGATCAGAGGTAACTTGTGATTACCAGTCGCAGGTACGTTGCTTCTCAGCGCTATCACCACCGTCACTAATATTTCCGTACGCAACTCAGGATTTCTTGAGCTTTGACCTAGCAGCTGCTAACAATCTGGGGTCAATGCACGACCTTGAAAGGTCTCTTCAGGCGATGTTGTCATCTGACGGTGTCGTGGACGTTGCAAACACCAACCCTGGAGATGCCCTTGTTCAGCCTGAGGGGGAGGTCGAAGTGAATATGGCTCCAAAGCCTGATGCGCAGTCACAGGAACTCCAACACTATTATAATAGTTTCGATATGGAGGCGGTACTTGCGACATCACAGCAACCCCATTCCGCCACCATGAATCCTTCTGGCACCGTAAATCCCGCAGACACGGTCATCAACACATCGCTTGCGGCGGACGACTTCACGTCGTTCTTCAAGCCTGATCCCGATATTCAGGCTTATATAGCGGCGCAACGTCAGCGTCAGCCGAGTGCATTCACGCGCGATATGATGCAGTTCATCAACTTTGACGCGGGTGAGGGTGGATCGCAAAACGCTGAGGCGCCGCAGGTGGGCGCCCCTCCCCCTCCGCCACAACAAGCACAAGCGTCAATCTTCACACAGATGACAAACACCGCTGCTGTACCACAGTCTGGTTATGTTCCCCCTGCTGGTGCAGCGTATTCGTCAACGCGGCGGGTTGCTGCGAGTTGGAAGCCGTCTTATGCTATTCCTGATGATTCTGCCATCGACCCTGCTCTATTTTATTGACAGAGCATCCTCGACGGCTTGCTGGGTCTCGCAGTAATGAGTTCGAAAAATCATCAGTGCTTCATCCTATCCCCATTTCCCATAATGTTATCGATCTCGCTTTCCCGTGCTATACATTGCTCGACCGCTTTGCCCCAGAGATATTCACATGATCGCGGCATCATCCGCCCCCATGTGATATCCACAGCGCTTATTTTAATTATATCATGCGCGTCTCGCCGTATACCCACCCACGCATCATCTACAATCAATCTCATCATTTCTGCATCGTTGACATTTTGCTGGCATTCCATATTTCTATTGCCATATCTTCACTCCATCATATCATATATACCATGTTCTCATTCCGTTTTGCAATGGTTTTCTATAATCTTCTAGTATCGCCTACTTTCTTCATCGAACTACGAAACACATTAAAATGGCAGTATTCTTTCGCCAAATGTGTACCTTTTCTTGTTCAATGTACAATGTATCTCGTCACGAACTTTCACGATCTAGGTTGCATATGCACATAATAGTCATGGTATTATAAAACGTTCGCGTTCTTTCGCTGGCTGGTGATCTTGGCGTGTAAACTCCGCGACAAAATCTTGGTTGCGATGCCTCTTTCGGGAAGACAAAAAGGTTCGAAGGTATGAAAATCGATGAGATCACACATCGTACTATTGTTTCGCTGGCTTTGTGACTTGTTGGTCCAATGTTTAATCTAGGGTATCGCGCAGGGACGTCGTGACTCATTGAAATTTTTCGTTCAAGTGATTTCATGGCTTCGAAAGGACAATGCGATTTTGGTTATCTTGGGGATCAAGAGCGGGGGAAGAAATGCAAAAGGTTTGGGCTTCGTTGCGGCCCTTCATCATGATATCAAGATTGCGATTGCGCGGTATCTCATCACCTAGTAGGCTCTGGATCAGCCTGGTTTATACACCACGGACAAGTCGATCGAGCAGAGACGAGTGTCATATCATGTCTATTGCTAGCATCCATCATTTATAAGTAGTATCGTCGTTATCTGCGGGTATTGATCAAGAAGGCACAGGCGGAAGAGCCGTTACTAATGCGATGGGGAGAATGACTAATTTCTCCTTGTCCCACTGTGCATCATAACAATCAGCGCTCAAACATCACTCACATCACAACAGCCAAGACACATACCACATCAGTCTTATAATAAAGATCCTCCTCCACGAGCTTACGCACGGCCTCAACGCTTTCGCCTTCATAAATCATGCACGAGCCACGAAACTTTCTGTCTGCTGCGGCTGCGTCGACGGATTCGGGCGTCATGAACGCTCCGCCAACTCCTGTGAAATTTCGAGGTGCTTCAGCGCTAGTTACAAGACTCGCGCAGAACAAAGTTACGCAGGACGCCTCGATTGATTTGGTTCTTGATGTTCTCGAGGTGGGCAGGTCTTACTGCGAGTCTTCGTTGGAGAGCGCCCTCGTCGGTGTAATCGGGTGCCCAGACGACGAATTTCGGTAGGGATGGTGTTGAGGACATGTTTCTCTTGTGGATGTAGTTGTAGATGGTTTGCTGTGGGATGATACGTGATATCTTGAGAGTTCGTATCATTTCGCGGTCAATGCCAGACTTGGTTATGACTCATAAGTCGATCCGTGGAAGAGCGGGCCTATTCGGACCGACTGACGTTTCAGATTCCTGTCCTTCCAGGCCGCCAGCATGATTGATGTCTTGTTTTAACTCTTTCGCTGACACTGATCTTCTATGTTCTTCTTTAGTAGGGATCACTTGACTGGGTTTCAGATCGTCAGATGTATCACCTGCATCAACAAAAAAGACTCTGGCACTGTGTATGGCCGGCGAGGGCCGTTTACTACCTTGTATGGTAAAAGACATGCATGAGATTGCAGCATGTACGCAAGTACTAACAGACATGTGTGAGATTCAAAGCTTGTAAGAGGTGTGGAGGTACAATGCATGTCTCAGCTTACAACTGAAACTGGTCACAATCTGAAACATTTACTTCATCAACTGCTTGTTCTAAAGTATCACAAGCTTCGTACATTACCTGTATATAAGAGCAGCCTCCGTTGGTTATTCGAGCGTCTGATTAATCCCTTGTGCCATACTATCTGAAAGCCTCAGCTTCTCACATCTATCACACAAACCCATATTCACGAACAAGTGATCGAATTTCAGTATTTCGTCCGTAGCGTACAGAAAATGTTCTGGGGTGCTCAAACGTCTAGCCAGACGTCTGAAGATTACTCGATTATTGAGTGTACGCATATCGTTATTTCGTGTCGACAGCCTTGCCCTTCCTTCCATCTCTTTCCATCTCCGAGTCTCCATTTACTCCTACCTGATATTTACTGTGAATGAGTGTACGGATATCATTAGACATTCATCCGTACACTCATTCACAGTAAATATCAGGTAGGAGTAATGGAGACTCGGAGATGGAAAGAGATGGAAGGAAGGGCAAGGCTGTCGACACGAAATATAGAGTACTTGGATCCGTGAGACCACAAATTTCAGAGGCGCTTGCCACAGGCCATGTAAGTGCATCAAAAGAACAAATATGAATAGCTGCGGTACATTTTGTGAACTCTGCTAGTGGAGCATCTTTGTGGCGTGATGCACAATTGTCCTCCTAGCGGCAGTTCATAAAATGGGAAATAAAATACGTGGGCAGTTGGGGAACAGTATCTTGTGCATCATTTTATAGAGAGTATTCGCCAAGGTGCATACGGCTTACTTTGGGGGTTCGTGGCACGAAGGTTCTATGGACATATGCCCCTTAAACCAAAAGGCTTCGTAAAGCAAGCTCTACGAAGCAATTTCTACAAAAACGTAAGCCAGAAAGGCTGAAACCATAAAAGCAAAGCCCACCAAACAATGCAATGTCACTGTTGTCCGGATCACCGGTTTTGTGCATCTCCTCAGATGTCATTCAAGTTGGTAGCATCGGGAATCCATAGAGGTGAATACCTACCAACGAGACACAATCAAACGACGCGCAGTAGCGCTTCACGCACCCTTGTCCGATATTGTGTCCCAAGCGGCATTGAAAAACTCCAGTCTTCCATAAACCTTATAGCATCCCACACTTTTGGTGTATACTCATAGCGTGCTCGTCGGAAACAGGTTATAGTGAACCATTTTTTCTTTCCAAAATCAAGTGCTATGGTAACTCAATTGGTAACTTGAAGAAGGCATCAGCCGGTCATCGCTAGCTCGAGCTCGAACGTGGTGTGGTGGTTTGCATTATACTAGAGAGTCCGTTCGGAATCTTGCTTGACCTCCAATCGAACCCAAGGGCTTGGGAGTGAATATTTGAATGAGGTAATTGTTATCGGGAGAGCCGTGAATCGACTGGCAATCAATCTAAACAAAACCTAATGATATATGACATTTCTGAACCAGGCTCCATCCTCCAATTCGAGTGTGGAGGCGACATTGATAAGTCACATGATACAAGAAAAATTCAAACCCCGCATAACCTTATTCACCTCACCTCACACTCTCACCGGACTCGCCGTGGATTTTCGATACTAGCCAAGGGCCTGAAGGGACCAGTATGGAACTGCGAAGGCATATTCACATGCGGCCCTGCTTTCTTCGAATGGGATAAATACTAATAGCAGCGCAGTTTATTCTGAGAGAACGAGTGACTTTCAAGTTCTTTCAAGTTGAACTGGTTACTGCGGGTGCACATTGCGTCGATCTACTCTACAAATCACTAGTAACTCGCGCATCAGTATCAACGGCCATACCCCACCAATGTGAAAGCAAAAATGTGACTCACTGTGCAGAAAAACTCTGGACGGTGCTATCATGCAGGTGAGTCATGTTATCAGGTGCAGGAAAATGCTGATACTCGCGCATATTTTCTGAGAGCATCCTTTAACTTGGCAGTCTGACAATCTTAGGCAATACGTGGGACATGATTGATCGTGACTGGAGCTAGCTGCATCACTAGTGGGCATGGCAAAGCTTGATGATACTAAAGCAGCAATGACGGCGAGGACAATTGCAGAGGTGAAATGCATTGTTTGTGACTCGTGTGTGTGGGATCAGGTAATTCTGAAGGCAATAGTAGGAAAACGGTTGGCTTTTATATTGTTCTCTGGAATTGCTGTTGCATTAATGTGCCTTCATATCTGCAATTAATGCCAGCAAAGTTTACAACATCGTTAGTATTGTGTGCAGAACCAGTCGCACTGCCAGGATGGCAGAACGTTTCCGGCAGAATGTGGCGGAACTCCCGCATATGTCAGGTTCTGCCAGTATAGAATAGTTCTGCCCACTCCGCTAGCCACAGTGGACACCGACTATGGAATTCCCTTTGTAACGGTTCGAAGCACTACTTATAGATTTCCCTTAGTGTTGTGCGCAGTTCTGCCGGCAGAACATGGCAGAACTAGGGTTGTGCCACGGCAAAACCAGGCAGAGCTGAATTATTTGTCGACTACAAGAAACCATTGGTTGACATTAACAGACTTAGCCATGGATAAACATGTAATTCTAACATACGTCTCACGCATCCTCTAGTACCTTTTGTACTTCTGCCACGGGCCACGGCGAATGGCAGTAATTTGCCAAAAACACTAATTTCCCTTTGTACTCACTCAGTACATACAAATAGTCAGTCCTTAATCCCCGACTCCCACTTTAGTGGAAAGAGGGTTTTGTCGGATCCAAACATTCAAGCACCTTTACGCCGCTGGGGGCCGACTTCGCTGGCACAACGATGACGCTCGTTGTATTAATCGTATCATGCGTATGATCACATGTTACAATATTAATGTAAACCATATTCAAGAAATGACTTCTTTACATAAGTACCAGAAATGTCTCCATGCTAGCACCAGATTCCTGCGCTACACGTGAATGCTAGTTTACACTTGGGAATGCTCCTGAAAAATCATCGGCATCACGTCCATTCCTGCGTCAGAGTCGTATACAACTTTGGCGTGGCGTTTTCGAACGTCAAGGATGAGACGTGGACCCAATATAAACATCTGCACCATGGCGATAATGACACTACTGCCAGAATATATGACAACTCCAATCGAATCTGAGTCCTATAAAAATGATGAATAAAAATCGCACTCAGCGAATAATCGGCATACCGCAATTGCTGGAGCAAAAGAAGCGAAGTTCAAGCAAGACGCAGCAAAGAAACTAGTTTGTGCGGAACTTCAGCGGCAAAGATAACCAAGTCAAATCACAAGCTTACCTTGCAAAGTAAAGCACGTGAGATGTCATTAACGCTGTGAGACAGCCCCCAAAGGTCGTTAGTCCGAATTGTTGCAAGTCACGGAATTGTTTTATGGCAATCCAGATGGCAAGACACAGCGCGAACACCTCCCAGACAGTGTTGAGTATGTAGATCACTGATACCAGATACGGGTTACTCGTGGAGCTGTGACTGCATTGATAAGTGCCGGAGAGAATGAGCTCCTCTAATATTCGTTGAGTCAGCCTGTTTTTTTTAAATACATAACTAGAACCCACCCCCTGAAGTATTGCTGAAATATATTCCAGCGACCACTGCAGAGGTAATGTTAACAACCAGGAAGAGTGCGATGAGAAAGATAAGCATATTTCTCGATCCTTGATACATGGCATATAATCGAACAATCATGATGACTGACATGATATGTCAGTCGATATCACCGAGGTATTGCACCTGGGTTGCTCACCGCCCAGAATGGCCGTCACGACCACATTTGCCGAATTTAATGCGAAGTTGGTAACATTGCCTGAAACACCCATTTAGTGCTTCGTAGAACAAGACACTCGAAGAAAACCTACACCTGTTATAGTCATTATATTGAAGCGACCATCCGGTCGAGAATATCACTCACACCTTGTACGTAAGCAGGTGATTGGGGGTAATAATAGGCATCAACGCAGAATACTCACTACATCTGTCTGCGAGACTGATGGAAGGTTCCCTGTATGCCGTCGGTCAGAGGAGCCAACCACACTGTATGCAAAGGGACATACACAATATGTTGTTACTGATCGTGAGCGATAGCTTATTAGTAGTATCATCATGTTAGCTTCAAACATACATAGCATATATTATTCCGATATAGCGCATCTAGTATACTTTGACGTCAGCACAACTTGTCGACACTCATAATAACTCGAGCGACATACGCTGATATATAGAGTGGTCATGAGAGACCGGCGCTGCCTCTACCCCGAATTAATCGTATATCCTGTTATTTTCCGATGTGGAACTTTGCTCACCCAGACCAGTTCAACCTACGATACGATTTTGAGCAAGATGGCTGTTCCGGTGATGAGATCAACGTACCTCTCGTCCAAGTGTCAGTACTGGAGATACTATGAGCATATGTTTAGCTTTTCGATGTGTACTATGCTCACCCCAGTCGTATATCACCACAGAGGAGGCTGACACTGCAAAAGCGCAATCCAGGTTAGATCGAGACGACGACCGTCATCATACAACTAGCTTTCATACCTATGAAATAAGAGATTAGATGAGAGAAATTAATCATCGGCCACCAGCTGGGATCATTTGAGGCTAGGGTCATATTCAAGGATGAGTGAAAGTGAGTGGGGGTACTTTGTGGACATGGAACGATGACGTTCAGGATCTTATATTCCACCACTGTAATGTGGGATGGGTATT